AGCATGTACAGTGGCCAGAGGGGGCGGATGAGGCACGTTCTGTGGGGGCTCATGGCATTTGGGGTGTCCCCCGCCCAGGCCCTTGGAGGGTGGACTCCGGGGTTGGAAAGTGGGTGGGATTGTCTGCAGGGAACTTGGAGGGAAGGTGGGTGAGAACAGCAGGCGGGGCTGTGCAGCATCGCGAAGTAACAGTAACCCAGCTCGGTGTCGGTGGTTAGGGCCAAAGCCTAAAGCGAATCTCCCGTCCGGGGTGCGGGCCAGCACATGCAGCCGGTTGCCGAGCAGGCGACTTGGAGTGCCGGCGGGCCGCGGAGCCTGTGGGCCCGCCCAGCCGCCCTGCTGCGCGGGGCTGCTCAGCGGGGGCGGGTCTCTGGGACCTGAGGAACGGGAGCTCTCCATGGAGCGGCTCCGGAAGAGTGAGCACAAGGCCACCTCACAGAGTGACTGTGCGTTGTCACGTGTCACCTCACTGACGGAGGAGGGGACGTTTGACTGTGTCCACATCCTGGCCGAAGGGCACCTTCTTTAAAACTCTGCAGACCTGAGAATTCTGGGCTTGCCGTTTACTTGAACATCCTCTTAAGGACTCAAGGTGCTTGTAACTGAAGCCCTGTAGAGTGAAACAGAAAAAGCACGTTTCCTGATCACTTGGAATGCCCAGTTTTCATTTTTAACTTGGGTTTCTCCGAGCGCCTCTTTAAAAACCTGTGTTTCAGTTCGAATTGGATTTCGAATGACAGAACAAGTCTCCAGACTGAATGTGGGCGTGTGCTTTCCTCCAGTCTCTCACTGTGGTGTGAGCACCGTGAGGTCGTTCTGGGTTTTGGCAGAGCTAGAACAGATTTGGGGAGATCGGTTTCCACAATGTACGTCTCTGATTTTCGCTGGCTCTGGTCTGTACGTCCTGGCCCACTTCCTGCTGCTTGGTGTTACCGTGGAAGAAGAGCTAAAGCAGTGTGTGCGTCTGGGTGTGTCCGTAACTGAAGCAGAATGGTTTATGCTTGAGAGTGTTAATGCGTTTGAGGACCCTCAGCAGTGACGCTCCTAAAAGTTGTTTCTTGATGGCTTATTTAAGGGCAGAGATCTTGTTTAGTTTCTTTCTAGTTTACCTGCTTCCTCAATCCCACAGGGGTGTCCTGTCTGCGGCCCACAGGCTCCCTGCAGCCCAGGGTGGCTGTGAATGTGGCCCAACACAAAATCGTAAATGTGCTTAGAACATCATGGGATACTTCTGTGATTACATGTTGCAATGTATTTAATGTGTAGCCCAAGACAGCTCTTCCAGTGTGGCCCACAGGTGCCCAAAGGGTGGACACCCTGCAGGAAGAATGCCTAGTGAATGCCCCACAAATGTTTGTAGCATGCGGAAACTTAAAGGATGTGAAATTGGCTGTTAGTTAATTCTTGTTTAAATTCTGAACAGCTTCCCGGTGGTCCTCTGATCTTCAACCCTCTGCAGCAGCAGCCGCAGCAGCCGCAGCAGCAGCAGCAGCTGCTGCCTCCGTTTCCCGCCCCGCCGCCCCAGCCGCCCGCAGCAGCCAGCCCGCAGCAGCCCGGGGAGCAGGTCTGTGCCTCCCCAGCGCCACATGCCCCTGCTGCACCAGGGCGGCGTCCCGGTTGTGTGGGGTGTCTCTCGGGGCCCGTACTCAGTGATTTTGCGTTCATTGGTTTCCTGTACTGTTGCTTTATTAACAAGAGTAACTGTTGGCTATTCTGATTCCCACAACACCGTACTGAAGACTCACTCCTGCCTCGTGTGATACGAGAGAGTTGCAGATGAGTGATCCACGCCCAGCCCAGGCCTTTCCGGCCCGTCCTCACTCTGCTACTCACAGTATTTCGTGTCTTAGAATCAAGGCGTTCTGTTATCACGGAGCTTGGCGGGGAGAGAGACAGACAGACTCTTCCGTGGTGTCAGTGTCTAGACTGGGGTGGAACAAGAATGGCAGAAAGTCAAAGTGAGAAGGAAGAGCCACTGACCTTTCTGAGGCTCAGCTGCCCTTCCCCTGGGCCACCCCCCCCCCCCCCCCCCATCTCTCGCAGCCCAGTCCACACCCAAAACCACACGCCAGTCCCGCCACCGGACATTGGTGGATGGCCCGTGGGCCTTCTGCCTCCGTCCCCGGCTTCCTGTGCTCACTGGATGTTCCAGTACAGCACTGCTGAGACTGCTCTAAACTTGAAAACCAGTTTTGGCAAAGCTCTCTAGGGAAGCGCATCGGACAGTGAACCAGCACAGCATCGATGCTGAAAAACCGGGCTTTATTTCCCCTCTTTCACAGAGCCATAAACTTGTTCCCGCTGATGCCAAGTGCCTTGAGAGTCTTTTCTTTATGCTAATCTTTTTACCAGACCTATCCTAATAGGGGAAGAGTTACTCTTCTTTTTACCAACACAAAGGTCGCTTTCTTTCTTTACAAGTCATGTGTGGTTTTTTCACTCAGGGCTCTGAACAAGGTGCCCACGGCCAGGAGCAGGCCTTGCCTGCCCCACACGCCACGGTCCTGGGTCTTGCCGGAGCGGGGGGCCTCCTGCAGCCACAGGCAGCCGGTTGGTATCCATGCCACTTCTTGGGCTGGGTTTACGGAGTATTGAATCGGGGTGGGATCTCACCTTTTTAATTAGTTTCCCTTCTCTCGCCAGCATTAACTAGGAGAAAGTACAGTTAAGTTTAATGCATGAACTGTGGAATTGGGTTATTGGTAGCCCTGAGGATCTTTTTCATTGATAATTGCTTTGACCTGCGTATGTGAGCAGCATTTATGTTTTGCTTATGTTAGAGTTGGTTGGCAAAATGTTACCCAGTCATCCAGCTTCCTAGGAAGCCACCGCAGTGGTTAACGCTTGTCTCTAGGGGGTTGGGACTGCGTTCGTAGGTGGCCTCATCTTCTGTCTGGTTCTGGCTGCCTGTACTTGCCTGAATTAACATTCAGTGTCAGTAACAAGGCTGGCCGCTCTTCCCATTTGTAAAACACGAGGGTATATGAAACGTCTTACCAGTTCCAGCAGTCAATGGGGAACCAAGCATTTACCTGTAATGAAGCTTGTCTTGCAGTTGAAGACAGTAATTCGAGTTTGAGGGTTGACCGAGTGGTGGTGTGAACATTCTGAGCCCTCCCTGGGTGTAGTGTGGTGCCCTTAGGCTCCTGAACAAGTAGATCCAGGGTCTGAATTTAGAATGAGCAAGGTCTTCGGGTACATGCAGAGCTGGGGGATCTTGGTGCGAATTTATTACTACAAACGTTTGCCACACAAGGTGTACATTCTCCAGAGTGCAGTGTAGTGGGAAGGACTCCAGGCTGAAAAAGCCTAAGAATGCTGCCTGCACCTCGGTGGGTCACTGAGGCCGCCTGGGCCTGGACGCCCCTCTTCTGGGCAGTGAGAGGGTGGGCCTCTGTCCCACGGGCCTGAGGGAGGACATGCGGCCTCGGGCACTGTCTGTCTTGCTACCCGTGGAGTCCGGTGCTCCTGCAGTGTCTGTTCAGAAGCACTTGCCTGGCCCTGATAGCGTGGCTTCCGGCCTTTCCTCCTTCATTGGTTCTATTTTAAAATGTGCTGCGTTTCACATTTTGCAAGAAAGCCTCTCTCAACAACAGCACTGTCCTCGGATTTCATTGAGGTTCAAGAAAGGGACCCGGGGCTCAGGCACTGGTGCAGGCCCTTCCTTTTCTGTCTGCCGCTGTCCGTGGCGCCCTCGACTAACAGGAGACTAAACTCTGAGTGTCTGATTTGATGCTGGAGACTAACCCACTGACCACTCCTCCGTGTCTCGTTCTCTGTGTCGTCCTCCCCGACCCCGCGGCCTCCGCCCCCTGACGGGCCTGCTCTCCCTCTCCTCTCTGTAGCGCTGTCTCAGCTTGGCTCTGCCGGGAACAGACCTGAGCAAGGCCCCCCTCGGCAGAGACTCCAGCCCTCCCCTGCCTTGCAGCAGCAGCAGCGGCAGCAGATCCAAGTAATCCAGCAACTTTGCTCTGATTGCACTTGAACGACTCTGGCTCCCAAAGTACCTCGGAATGCCTTAGTTTTATATCACTGCCTTGTAAGAATATATAGTAATAGATAAATAGCTTAGCAAGTTTTATTTAAAGGTCTGATGTTCTGACCAGTTTGGAGCACTGAATATATTTTGTACATTGAAGCCATCCTTTTACTGATGTAAAATCTTTCAGTAAGTGCTGGTGGCTCAGTACATCCACATTTGTGGTCGCAGTGGGTTTCGAGGTAGACAGGTGCCGGTGGTTAACCTGCACCGCAGGATGAGGCAGGCGTGCCAAGGGTTCTGTTAGCCGGCATCCTGCCTTTCTCAGAGGTGTCACCCCGGCAGTCAGCGTAGGAGAGTGGACTGTCCCACGTGCAGGGTGGTGCTGTGTTGCTATGTTGCTAGGACCATTGTGAGAGCTCGGTGACTGAAGTTGCTGAGTCACAGTGTAGACCGGCAGGACAGAATGACCAATAGACTCGACGGGCCCTGGGTGCCGGCCCTGTGCGACTGCGGCCAGGCCCATTACCTCGGTGCTGCTCCCTCTCGGTTTGTGGTCTCCGGCGCACGCAGGGAAAGCCCCTTACTCCTGCCCCGTGTAACGCCACGTCTCCCTCCCTTTGCAGCAGTTGCGATTCTTGCAGCATCAAATGGCTGTGGCAGCGGCAGCGGCACAAACAGCCCAGCGACGTCGTCACCGGCACACAGGCAGCCAGCCAAAAAGTAAAGTGAAGAGAGGCACGCCAACCACTCCCAAGTTCTGAGTCTTGCATTATTTTTTTTAAACATAAGAACAATGAATCAAAAGGATTCTCAGTTTCTACTTCATTTTTGTTCAAAACGTATCAGTATTTTACGTTGCCAGGTGTACAGACTCTGTACAGAAGCACGGCCCTATGGTTTTTAAATAAAAACATGGAAATGCTTTAACCGTTGGGGTTGGTCTGCTCATGTCATTGCTTTCTCACCACGGTGTCACTGTCCGTAACGTGTAGGTGGCCTAAGAAATACTGGAAATGTCTTAAGAATGTAGTTTGATATTTATTGAGTATAAAAGGCTTGTGCACAGTGTGACAAATACCGGGTTTACAAATCTGTTTTGGAAATGCGGTTGTTTATTTGGGCCTCATACTCTTAAAGACTTCGTCCATCAGTTTTTTCACTTCCTTGTGTCTGGTGACTGCCCGGCTCATGCAGTCCTGCAGCTTGGCTCCGGTCAGCCCACTGCCTCCTGCAGAAGTAAGGGCCCAGGTCACATGCAGTTGCAGACCGAGAGCTGCGGCAGTGGGGACCAGAGACACAGTCTGGGGTTCACAAGTTAGCTTTCGTGAGACCTCCGCGTGACTCTGACACTCACATGTTACAAACGGGAGGGTTTGGGGCAGCAAACTGCCGTCCTACACTTGCTGCACTAGGTAAAGGGTGAGACGCCCCGCATCCCACCGCCACCACCAGCCCCCAGCCCCCCTCCCGCCAAAACCTAAGGTTCCCACTGAGGCCTCCTCCCCACAGTCAGGGCGGAACCCGAAGGGCCGTGCCTGGCTTGTGAAGGCAGCAGAGCCTGCCCGCCTCGTCCATAACGACTGTCAGGGCCCCGGCCGCCAGGCGCTCCTCCTCTCCGGTGGGGTCCGCGATGAGCAGCGTGCTGGGTGAGACAGCGTGGGGGCGAGGTCACCGACCCCGGACGTTCCGTGTTAGAGGGGCACCAGGCACAGCCCTCAGCCTTCAACTTACTCGTCAAACACCGCAAAGGAAGTAGCAACTGGGTGCGTTCTAACGTTCAGGTGGCTTTTCTTCTTTAAGTTAACTTCTGCTAAAGCCGTTTCTTCGTTTATAGTGACTTCTGGCAGCTGCACTAGAAAAAGGCAAAGAGGTGAAATAAGTCCTTCACTCCAGAGAGAGTAAGAGATGCTGCTTTCTCAGGTCACCTGCAGCTTGTCCAGAAGAGCTTTTAAAAAGTTATTACTTCAGAACATTAGGATAAATACAATGTGTGCATGAGGTGTCACTGACTTGTAAAACAAATAACCTGGATCACAACACACCTGAAGCGTGAAGGAAGCCTAGCAAAAGAGGACGGCAGCAGGAGCACTGCCTTCTGTCGTGGGGCTCACCGTTCTTTAAAGCCGCCACCACCGCGAACGTACAGGCGTCCAGCACGTTCCCGTCGTAGTCGAGGCAGATGAGGTCACAGTAGAGGACCCACGCGAGCTGCAACAACCGACAGCACAGCGGACGGTGAGGCCGTGAGACCACCTGGGCCCAAGCTCAGAGACCCACGTAACCCCCACCTTCAACCGGTGGCAGCCTGGTCGCCGCAGGCTTCTGCCCACCCCGCTGACCGCTGAGGAGCATTTGCACCACCGTCGCTAAGTTCACAGGGGAGGGAAATGCTTCTGAACGTCCCAAGTGAAAATCCAAATGCCCTTTCCCAAGGCAACCTTAACACGTGAAATGTTCGGGTTTTACAGTAGTGAGGAGTATGTGGTCACACAGGGAAAGCCTGTACGGTCTGGGCAACCAGGGTCTCCAGTTGTCACGTGGACGTGGGGTCCACAGCACGGGTGCCCCTTACACACACCAGCTGATGAGACACCGATCACTACAAAGCGTAAAAACGCCGTTCGCTGTGGACAGGGAAGAGGACCTTGGTGCAAGGCAGCTCCGAGTCCGGCAATACATCAGTCAGGACCAGTGTCTTGCGCACACTGCCCAGCTGGCAGAGAGACTGGTGGCCCTACTGTGTGTGAGACGCTGTGCTGAGGGCCAACTCCCCGTCTCCTCCCCACGGGACGCTTCGGAATTCTGAGAAGAACGCGGCTCCTTGACTCCGCACCTTTCCCGGAGAAATGCACAAGTCCTCCTTCTGAATCATCTGCGAACTTGATTTAACGACAACAGTAAACGGAAGGTCAAAGCCACCCAGGCATGGACCTCGGCCCTGTCTTATCCCCGAGGTCTTACTTTTCAATGACGTCTGCCACGAACTGGCTGGCCACCTGGGCCTCTTCCCCGGGGGGTCCCGACCGAAACCGCGACGAGCACAGAGGGGGCAGGTCCACGTTGGGAACTGAAAGACACACTCTGCCGCTAGGGAAGGCGCGCCGAGGGCCGGTCGTCCTCACGCGGCGCCTGGCCCTGGACAGGCCGCTGCGCGTGGGAAGGGCGGCAAGGCGTCTGTGGTGTCCCGTCTGGCCTCTGTAAGCCCCGTGCGTGGATAAAGTACAGTCGGCACACGACTCCTCGCCACGCGAGGAAGACCAACAAAGGCGTTTACTCGAGACTTCGACCCTTGGCAGGTTTCCTAGACTTCTTTCAAAGTGCCTCGCCCTGCAGCAGAAGGCAGCCCTCCGCTCAGACCCAACCGTTCTGCGCCTGGAGAATGCGGGCTCCCACCACACAAGACAGTCCAAGTCAGAACCCTAAAGACCTCACGCTGGTATCAATGACGAATGTTTATGGAAGTAGAAATGTTTGCGATTACAGCCCTTTGCCTAGGAGATTCTACTTTCTTGGTTGATGACATCTGAATGCATGAAAAAAAAATGGATCCAAAAACTTTACAAAATTCTCTATTTTGCTAATAAGATATTTTCTAACAGAAAACTTCAAGAATGTCTCTCTTCCCTGTGTATTTGTGACTATTATATGAATAATTTCCTTCAACTACTAGGACTTAGCTACAGTATCTGTATTAAAATTACAAAACCATTTCACTTACCAACATACCCCTTGTTGGGGGCATCTGGAGGTGGTGCAGCAAACTCCTGTGGAAGCAAACGGGTGTCAGCTGTGGGGCTCTGCCAGGCCGCGCAAGCTGGTTGCCACGGCGTCTGCTGTGCCCAGGCACCGGGTCAGAGGCCCTCTGGACTTGGCCACCAACCCAGTCGCTCTGCAGGCGCCGAGACGGCAGGGCGCTACGCCTGGGCACTCCTCATCAGTTGCCTGTGGCTCCTGCAAAGGTGACCAGGACGTCTGCTCCACCCACTCAGGAGCCAGGAACCTGAACGTAAGCCCAAGGCGACACACCCAGATTTAGGAAGTGATGGTTAGCAACACCCAGGCTGAGCAAAAGCTCCGGAACCTCCTGGTTCAAATGTGGGGGCCTCACTTTCCAGCTGAGAGTTACCTGACCCTTCCCATTCAACCTTCTCACCCACAACACGGAGCACGTTCAAGAGGTTTATGTTTAGGGACTGTTAACGAGGGTCAGTGAGAACGCTCAAAGTCCAGAATGTCAGACTTGGGCACTGGGCCCTGTGATCGGCGGTGAGGTGTCACCCGGCTTCACCCGGAGGACATGGGCTTGGGGGAGGGAGCAGAGCTCCGTGCGGCCAGAGGGCACACCCCGCAGGCAGGCCCACGACAGGCCCACGCTCTCACAGGAGCCCTGAGTTCCTGGAGCCTGGCCAGAGGCATGCACCTCTGGTGGCTGTTCTGAGGCTGAGAGGCACTGACTGTGCAGCACCCAAAATCAGGTGCCTCCGCCGTGGCAGGTGCTCAGTGCAGCAGCTGTTGTTCCCTCGGGGTTTAATGTTGAGCAACCTCAACTGTGTGCACACCTGCACAGACAGATGCTCAGGTTAAATGCCATCACTGGGCAAAAGGGTATCACCAGAAACTTAATTTCTTAAAAAATTAAAGGTGGTGCCAATCTGGAAAATTATCTGAGTTCACCGCATTTGGCAAATGTTCGTAAATTATACTTGAGTCATTAAACTTGGGTCATATTATCAAATTCTCAAAGATGAAAGCTCCAGGCAGGGTGTCTGACCTTCTGGTGTCACCGGGCCACTCTGGAAGAAGAGTTGTCTTGGGCCACATGTCAAATTCACAAACACTAACAAAAAATGGTGAGCAAAAACAAGGTTTTAAATAGATTTACGATTTTGTGTTGGGCTGCCTTCACAGCACCCTGGGCTGCATGCAGCCCGGGGGCCGAGGGCTGGACACACTGCAGGAAAGGGAAAAGTGCCCACGCTGATACGGGCCGCCACGCCAACCAGAGCTGCCAGCGTGTGTCACACAGTGCGCATGTGCGGCTGACCTGGCACCTCAGACCCCAGGAGCACACAGGAAACCTACCGCTTTAATACCACAAATCACTGCCGTGTTTCCCAGCTTCACTAAAGCAGAACCATCCGCGGTACTAATTGAACCTGAAAAGATAAGTATTTAAGCAAAATAGAAAGGCGAGTAAGAAGTGCTTTGCTTTCTACTAGGATTTTATATTGCTACATACAGACAGATGCTTATGAAATTTATTACTAGCTCAAGCCTTTTTAGAATGGTATAGCATTTGAGTTACTCACCTGCCCTAAATGTGAGTTCTCACTTTTCAGTCATAGCACTGCACAGATAAAAATCCCGACAGAGTCACCAGAATTCCCTAAACACGGCAGAACTTGGGCAAACTGCTGTATGAATGACTCAGAGGCTAAAACTTGGGGCCGCTATACAGATAAAACTGGAAAACCCCATGTTTGCAAGGGGGTGGAGGCGTTTAACAAGGTTACTGTGTAAGAAATCCATGTATTGGAGGTTTGGAAGGAAGGGGAAAAAACTCAGTAGTAACTCTAAAATTTTAAATAAAGAGCAAATCAATGGAGAGAATAGTGAGTTTTTAAAATTTTTACAAACAACATTCTATTTTCGAAACAGAAGCAATGTCAACGCTCCGCCGCAGACGGAGAGCAGCCTCACCCACGTTGACGGTGGTGGCTCTGAACTCGCCCAGCTCCCTTCCGTCCGGACGGCAGTTCTCTTTCTACAGAAACACGCGGGAAGGGATGTTATACCCACACGGATGTTGCACGGAGAGCCAGGGAAAGCACGTTAAGCCCCATTAATTGAAATTCCTTGAATTTTTAGGGTATAAGTGACGTATTTTAACATTAGCTTCAGGCGCACAAAGTAACGCTTAGTATTTGTACTTGCGAAAACCGTCTTTACAAGCGAGGTGCTGTCTCCATAAGGCGTGATATCTCTACTCACCAGAAACCTCCTGTAATACTCCAGGGGCTCCACCGTCCTGCAACGTGTTGAAGATATGCCTGTGTGAGTTAACGACTCTTCCCACAAACCCAAAACAGGCGAGGACAGAATTCCACACACGTTCCCATCGCGCGATGACACGGGAACTAATGGTGAAAGGCGGGTCTAACAGCAGACAGCAGACGGGAGCAGCTCTGCCCGCCGGGAACACAGGGTGGGGCCCAAAGCCCGGGTGCGACTCCAACGGGATGAGGGCAGACGTCAGACCACTTGGCTCTGAAGCTCGGAGTCTTAACTCACAAGCTTGGGAAAAAAGTCCCACCTTTATTTCCACTACCCTGGGACTGATATTCAACACGTGCTTCAGTTACGACTGTGGGCAACATCCATGATCCTATCAGTGGGACCTGCGACTTAAACGACCACATTTCTGCGGAGCGATTGTCGAAGATAAGCGTACCAACCGTCCCTTTTGAATTGCAGGGACTACTAGACTCTCCGCTAGATCTCGTTCTTTAAGAAAGTTAACTTCAGAGCAGGAGCACGTACATCTCACACACTCGGGGGGCTACACAAAGAGACCACTGTTTTTTGGTGAGACTGGTCTCCTTCGGAACCCTGCTCATCCACTTAAAAACTTCATTCCGAGAACGAGAACCTACAGGCTTCGCCAGAGCGGCACAGAAAAAGCTGATGTAAAACCCTTCCGAACTCGGCACCATCCACTCAGAAATAAATTACGGGAGAGCGAGAACGGAGTGGCACGCGGCTCCGACCCAACGCTGTTTAAAAACATACCACTGAGCCCGCTGGGGCCGCGCGCCCTCCACACCCCGAGCCCCAGCGCTCGCGGAGGGCGCTCCACTTTACACCCAGCCTCCGCTCCAGCCTACCGGCGGGAAGAAGCCCCCTTCCGTTCCCCACGACCGCCTCCAGGCCCTCCTGCCCGCCGCCTGCCTCCGCGGGGTGGGGACGGGCAGGGGGAACCTGGAGGGGTGGTGCTCCCGGTGAGAAAACCCCGGTTAAAGATTGAATGAAGCCGCCACCCGCCAGGGTACAAACTCGCGCCCGCCAGCCTCTAGCACTCACTTGAACCCGGCCGCCATCTTCCCGCGCGCAGGCCTGCGCTTGCGCGGAGGCGACGCGGCGCCCGCACTCACACTTGCGCCTGCGCCGGGGCGACACAACGCCCGCGAGCTAGGCTTCTGCTCCGCCTTCACATTTTCGGCTTGGACTCGAGGGCCCTCCTCCGCCTTCTCGAGACTGACTACGCCCGGGCCCAGCGACGCTGGACCCCGGCACGCCTTCGTTTCCACAGTCCCAAACCAAAACCTGCCTCTAGCTTCTCTTGCTTTCTGCGCCTTTTGACGAATCTGCTGATAAGCGATGAACGTCTCTAGAAACAGACTAGTCGTTCAAGCGTTTAAGAGGAAATCGAATTTACAGCAGATTATCCAGTGCTGAGTGTGAGGCATTGCAGAAAAGTGCCTGCGTCCTCTTCCCGCCCGTGTCTTAGGCTAGGCTCGAGCGTCCCTTCTCCCCGGTACAGCGCTCCGGGTTCCAACACCGGAGGTGACAGACGTCCTGGGCGCTCCCCATCGGCTCCGGGTTCCAAGCTGCGGGGACCGGGCGGGCTCCCGGGGAGCTGCTGCTCTTCTCAGGGCTTCCACCTGCCTTTGGATAGGGTTGCCGGGCAAAATAAAGGCTAGCCAAGTACATTCGAATGCAGAGAAAGATTTCTTTTTCCCTAAGGATGTTCCCAGGGGTGTATGTTAGTAGTCGTTTCTAGGGTCGGCGGGAGCGGGGAAAGTTTTAGAAGTAGTGCTGGCTGCAGAGAATTATGAATAATTAAAGCCCTGTTTTGTACACTTAAAATGGTGAAAATATCGAAAAAAAATCATTTTATCAGTTTTCAAAAAATTATGTAACATACCAAACTTTTAAGGGGGTGGGTTGTATGTTATGGGAATATTTCAAAAGGCTGTTAAGCAAAAACTTTGTTGCTTATCTGATAGTCAAATTAAATCGGCATCCTGTATTTTGATTAATTCCGGCCACCAGGCTGTGGCACGGGGCGTGGGGCACACAGTCCTGCGTGTTCCCGCCTGGCCGCGCGAGGGCGCTGTGGGCGGCGGGCGGCCGGCTGCGCGGCCTCTGGGCCGGCGGGGGGGCGGGGCCGCGCGGCGGGTTCTGCGGCTGCGCCGCGGCTGCGCCGCGGCTGCCGCGCGCGTGCTGAGTCCGGATAGGGCAGCGGCGCCTCGGGCCCAGCGGGCATGGGTCATGGCTCCGCTTTCTCTGCAGCTGGCGGTTCTCTACGCGGCACTCGGAGCGGCGCTGGCGGCCGCGGGCCTGATACTGGTGAGAGGTGGGGTGGGGACTGACGCGGGCCTGTGCTCGCTGCCTCCTGGAGACACGGCCCAGGCGCGCTCTGCTCTTCGGGGGTCCCTTTCTCCGGGCCGCCGCCCGACCCCGAGCCTTGACCCCAGAGTGCCTCTCTGGGGTTTCACGCCCCCTTTCTTCCTTGTTTATTTCTCCTTGGGAACTTTAGCTCCCTACATATCTAGAGCTTGTACGTCGGTTCTCTCTGAGGACATGCGCACCCCGTCTCCACTTAACCCCGGACCCGCGGAACCCCGGGCCCTGTGCCCCCTCCGACCTCCCGGGTCTGCAGCCTGCGCGGCGCCGCCCCCGCGAGTACTTGAGTGCTCTGCAGACTCTCCTCTCCTCTTGTGGGTGGGCATATGAACATGGGGACAGCACCCACAGGTGCCACCTGTTCCAGAATGGAACCGGTCAGTGCCTGGCGAAGACCCACTGTGAGCGCGCGAGGCCTGACATCAGCATCTGCCTGGGGTTCGCTGCGTCCCGGAATGGAACGGCCCGAATTTGCTGCCTGGAAACGGGCAAGGCCGTCGAATTCACCCTGGGGTTTCTGGCCGACCTTGGGCAAACACCGGCTGATGCCTAAGCGAACTTGGACCCTTGGGATTTGGGATGAGCCTGCGCTCTGCGTCGTGAATGCAGAGGTTGCCACTTCCTCGACGTGCCGATAGATTAGCAGCTAGAAAGTTTACGAGCTCACAGCCCAGGAACCGTGTACATGGCGAAGAAGGGCTGCATCCAGATTTCTTTACTAATCTGTCTCTCTCCCTTAGTGCTGTGGGGAGATTTCCAGGGTTTTGAGTAAGTCCGGCTTGGGGTGGAGCGGGCTCGTGTTGAAAGTGTTGCAGATTTACACGTGTACTGTTCGAGTTTGTTCGGAAAGTGTTTGCTCCGGTTGCTGTGCGCTCGCAGGGCGCCAGGTGTCGCGTTCAGTGTTTACCTTGATTGTGCAGCCCACACTCACGCGCCCTGGGGGCGCTGTTCCTGCATCAGCCCCTGAGCCTGTGCTACTCCTCTTCCCTCTCCCCGATCTGCTGCGCTTCTGCGGCGCGTGGCTGCTGTCCTGTGGAATTTCTCGTCGTCTGCATTTTTCTGGTGGTGCCCCCTTGGCACCTTTAAACATCCTGCTGTGAGCCCTGAATTTCCTGTGAACTAGTAGCTGCATCTAGGGACTTGACCAAATGTACGTTTGAGTGTTTCAGTGAAGAGAAGTGGGCATGTGGTGCTGAACACGCCCCTTTTGTGACCCCGGGAGACGTGCAGTGGGAGATTTCTCTGGGGGTGAGGTGGGCCCACCAGTTAGGAGGTTTGTGCTGACCCGAGGGAGTTCACAGCCATTGATGATCACCACCCAAACCCCTCGTTTCTAATTGGGTCGCTCGTCCACGTATTGCCTGGAAATCTGTAATGAAAGAGAATTTAGTCCTCAGCTTCCAGTTAATCCGAAACACCTTTTGTATGTAAAAGGTAAGATAAACAGCCGGGTTTCAGAATAGAGAAATCGTTCCCTGGCATCTTACAGAGGGGACCAATTATGTTTTACTTGTAGCATCACTACGAATGCGTGAGTTAGAATACTTTCCGTGTGTTTCAATGTACTGCAGTAATTTGGTGCCCAAACCCTCCCATCCTGAGCCAGTGAGAGCCCCACAGGCTGACTGGTGGCCCCTCGTCATCACCGCTGTGCCCTTCTCGGCTGGCCGAGCCCTGCCCAGAGCCAGCCCGAGCCCCGTGCAGGAGCACTGGCTGCCGATAGTGGGGATTGGGATTCAGAAACCACTCTCTGGACACCAGGGCTGCGGAGTAGGAGCTCGGATCCCCCAGTCCGGGTGCTGCCCGTGAGGGCACCAGTCAGAAGCATGCACGAGGTCAATGGGTACCAAGGGATCGGAACAGATGGTTGGCAAGTTACAGATAACATCCTCGAAATGCGCGGGGTCAGTGTTTTGAAACACTGAGTCCAGTCCCAGTGGGACTGGCAGACTGTTCCCTTCATGGGCCTGGGTAGCAGCTCCGCCCTCATCCCACGCATTCCGGCTGCAGCGTGGACTCGCCCTCTGTCACGCACGGACCAGGCCCCGAGTAGGGATGGGGCCTCGTTGTGTGGGTGCCTGGGGTCAGGGGTTTGGCCCATCTGAGAACGGACTGCACGGCTGTACTTCGTTCCTTGTTAGATGCGGGGTGATTGGATTTTGGAGTTCCCTCCAGACCGTTGTTAATGGTCTAAAAACTGAGAAGAAATATTCCACCAAAGGGGGGAAATCACATGCATGATACAGCAGTGGAACCTAACAATTTCTCTTGCGCGTACCGCCTTTAGATCTCCTTCGTTGCGTTCATAACTGCAAGGGAAATGCCTCCCCTCCATCGGCACGAAAAGGAGAAGTTCTTCCTGAACGCCAAGGGGCACAAGGAGGCCCTGCCTGGCATCGGGGACCCGCCCACCAAGCAGCTCTCTGTGGTCGTGCCTTCCTACAACGAGGAGAAGCGGTGTAAGCCGGGGTGCTTCTGGTAAGGGGTCCCTGGGAGGGAAAGGGCATGCGTAGTACTGGGCTTGACTGCCTGGGGCACAGCTGCAGCCCTAAGAGGCACGTGGGGGTGAGTGACAGCAGCGGGAAGTGTGAGGCCGCAGTGCCCTGAGGGAGGGTCAGCCGGGTGTGAGCAGACAGGTGTGGGACTGGGAGGGGCCCCTCCCTTTGTAAACTGAGCGTGAGAGCTTGGCAGGTCACTCTCAGAAGCAGGTCCTAACGAACCTTTTTCTTCTCTAAGTGCCTGTGATGATGGATGAAGCCCTGGGCTACCTGGAAGAGAGGCGGGTATGACCTTTGCTCTTTCATTCTGACAACTCCCCTGGAAACCAGGTCAGGTGGCCAGCCGGCTGATGCCCGGAGCCCCTCCGTGAGGGGCGGGGCTGGCCCTGCGCAGACCTCAGTACTGCAGGGCTGCCCACGGCCCTGCTGGTGGCCCCCGGGGCTGGCCCGGAGCGCGTCACCCCCAGAGGCAGGTGGGCGACCCCAAGGCAGCGCTTTCTCTTCCGTTCCCCCTCCCCCCGCTTTGTCCTCTCCTGCTTGGGGGTGCACAGGAAACCGAGTGACAGAGTGCCTGCGGGCTTTGTGACCTTATACGAAAGTCATGTTTGAAAGATTTGTAATTAGGGTGAAATTATTTTGTATTTCTTTATTATTCTTAATTCCCCCCTCATTTATTTTCCACTTCTTTCTCTGCTGAAGAAAAGGAAGTCAGCATGTGCCCTGCGAGCTCCTTGAAGAGCTTAAAACAAGTGAGCTCTGTTCTTGTCAGAGGAAACCCCTCGTTCTGACTTTGGTTTTCGGGTTTGTGTGACGCGAAGACGGAAGAGCCACTGAAAGGGAGGAGCCTGGGTGACCTCCTCCTAGATTCAGTGTAAAGGACAGAGGAGGAGAGCTGAGCCCTCTTTGTGTGTGCGGCCCCCACCTCTTCATTACACAGAACCTTCACCCCCATGTAGAGTGGGGGTTCTGTTTTTCATGAGAAAACAGGCCAGAAATGTTACCTTGTCCAAGGCCGTGAGGCTAAGAAGGGGTGCTTTCGGGTTGGAAGCTGCGCTGCCTGACTTCAACCCGGTGGGCTGCCTCCTGGGCTCCGGAGAGTCCCTCCAGGGGTTCTCCGTGCCCAGAGGGCCTGCAGGGGCCTGTCCTGGGCTCTGCACGCCCACCCGGGGCTCCCCTCCCTCCCACCGTTTCATTTCCTGTCATGTGCGCACATCAGCGCTGAAATGATTCTTCACAGAGGTTATGCCACATCATGGCCTTTCATTTCTGCCCTTTACAGAGACGAGACCCCACCTTCACCTACGAGGTGATCGTGGTGGACGACGGCAGCAAAGACCAGACTTCAAAGGTGCGTCAACTTGCTTTTGGGATTGCCAGTAGATGGAAAATGCAGAATGATTGAGCAAATGTGATGTCTTACTTTCCCTCCTCAGAGAACCCTGAGCTTGCTAAGTGCCCGGTGGCTGTGGCGTGCATAGTAGGAGGGGCAGGGGGACTTCATTGGAGGGGAGCTGGAAAGTACACCAGCTGCCCCGTGAGCCCAGGGAAGCTGCAACGCCATCAGGTCTGGAGAGACCGTGCGCTGCGGCTCTGGCCGCAGGGGAGACTCTCTGACAGTTTAAGCCCCTGCCCCGCCCTGGCGGGATCCCACCCCTTCTCACGCCTGCCTGACAGTTCCCAAGCAGCGGTCCAGTGGGTGGGAAGCTGCCTTTGGACCTGTGCTGAGCAGCGGGTGTGTCCTTTGACATGCCCCCATCTGGAGTGACCTCCAGGCGGACACAGTGTCTTCAGCGCTGCCCCCTTGTTTCTCCATCCGGGACCTGTAGCCACCGCGCCCAGGTGCACCGATCCCTGCGGTAGCACGTTCACTCAACTTGGCCGGGGATCCCGGTCACTTACTACCTTTCATGATGCCTCCCTTTTCTACTTTGATGGTCCTGTTTCTGTAGCAAAAGGTTCCTTTGTGGTGCTATTCGTATTCTTATTAAATAGCAGCAGAACGGACCTTACAACAAATGCGCAGGGAAACGCCCGGCAACGTGATGGCTCCTCGGTGCTGGTTTCTGTTAAACGCCGAGTGGGCACGGCCTGTGTGAGACCCCGGTGGGGAGGGCGCCCCTGCGTCCGCCTCCCAGCTCTGTGGTGCGGCGGAAAGCAAAACGCTGCGGAGTGTGGGCCGAGAAGCAACAGCTGAGCCAGCCGTTCGGGGTTTATGGTGAACGACCCCGGCGGTGTGTCTGGACTGAAAGGTGGCGTGGACAGAAGCACCGTGGCCGGAGCAGGCGGAGTCTGTTTCAGGAAGAGCTGTGCCTCGCTGTGTGGGGGGCGTGCAATGAAGGATGTGGGCACGGGCTGCCCCGCGGTCCTGACACGGAGGGCGGGGCACACAAAAGCCCCTGCTGTGGGGGCTGCACAAGCAGGGTCGCCGCCACCGAAAAGCAGCTCCTAGCCCCCTACGACCTCTCCTCCCAGAGCCGACACGGTTCCAGACCTGCCGCGCCCTCAGCCGGAGGCAGGACCAGGGCCTCATCCCGCTCCCTGAGCCCTCGTGGGAAGCCCAGCGGCGGGGGCCGCAGTCAGGACGCGAGGAGGGTGGCTGGTGCAGCCGTGCCGAGGCCACCAGGAGAAGCCTCTGTGTGTCACCGTCTTGTGACCCAGTTGATTTTCTCTCCCTTTCACGCACTTGGACAGGTGGCCTTTGAATACTGCCGGAGGCACGGGAGCGACAAGGTGCGCGTGATCACGCTGGCGAAGAACCGGGGGAAAGGCGGTGCCGTGAAAATGGTAATGCGCCGTTCCCCGCTGCTGTCGGCAGCGCAGAGCTGACAGAAGAGCCTCTTCTGTGGAGGGAGGGCAGCGCGTGGGGGCCCCACAGCTCAGCAGTCAGGTGCCACAGTTCCGAGTGCGTGGGCAGCACGGTCAGTCACACCCGACCGGACTCTCTGCCCGTATTGCACGGGGCACCTCCAAGAAAGACGTCTGTCCCACAGTTGAGTGATCCCGGCCCCTCTGTGTCGTTTGTGGGGTCACTGGGTGATAAGGTCATGTGGTATTTTTCTCGGCTGACAAGCTGCTTTTGTGCGTTAAACTGTCACTTGTGCGAGGCTCTGTGCTAAGCATGGAGCAGGAACTAAGGTCCGCCAGACTGTGGGTCGTCCGGTGAAGTCCACGGTGGGACAGGACAGGCGCAGCCCGAGCGGAGGGCTGCTGGGGTTCGGAGAAAGAGGGGTCATGTTCGTCTGAGGCCCGTCAGGTGGGACTCAAGATACACTGACAGGCACCAAAAGCCAGTCCCGTGGAAAAGTCAGTAGTGGTGCCCTGAGTGGCTCCCAGCCCCGTGTGTCTGCTCAGCGCGCCCTCCTGTCTGGAAGAAGCCCAGGCGCGGGCAGGCCAGGGCTCGTCCAGCAGCTCCACGCGTCCCTGGAAACCGGCCATGGCCCCTCAGCCCTCCCAGTGCCGAGGTGACCCTGCAGCACTGGCCCCCGGGGCTCGGTCCAGACGAGTGGAAGGGCAGAGGGCGAGGGTGCATGCCAGCTGTCTGCCCCTCTTTGGGAGCTTTCCCCAGGGACGGACGTAAATTTCAGTATCACGGGCCGGCTGCTTCCAAGGAAGGTGGAGGGAGTGTTCCTTCTGTCATTTGCCAACATCAGGGGTCCCTTGGAGACAGGCAAGGCAAGCACAGGCCCTGGGGGCGGGGGGAATAGGGCCCTGGGCAGGTGAGGGCAGCAGCCGACCTCCCCGGGTCGGGGCGGCCGGGCCCCAGGGGAGGGGCGGCCGGGCTGGCCGTGCGCTGCTCATCAACCCTGCTGAGCAGGGCGGCCGTCTCCCAACTTGGGCAAGATTGTCGCGTGCAGCCCTCAGGTCACCCCACGAGGTGAGGGTATCCCAGATGCCTTGAGTGACGGGGTGTATTTGGGTGGTGCCACCCTTCCTTAGTGTTGGGGACATTCCATATTTTTTATTTGCTTAAAATACTTGAGATTCCAAAATGAAGAATACAGATTTATCTCTCTTCTGATGCATTTCACAGCAAATTTGTGTGTAGTGTGTGTGTTCAGTCTGTTCATAAATATGTCCTTCACATGCTGTGCTAGGTGATGGCGTGATAGATAAATGTGCACATCATACATGCTGTATGTGACAGGCATTCTACTTTTTAAATCCTGTTGATGTTGAATGTCTTTGATTTGTCTAAATCTATTTTTTTAGCTCACTATGTTCCCAGGTGTTAGTTGTATGGCCTCACCAAGTTTTTAAAATTGTGAAATAGGCCTGAGATATATTTAGGAGGGTCTTACCAATGTGACTTGTTTTACGGAACTTTGGCCCCTTCTGCTGCCTCATACCTAATATTTCCCTCTTGGTCACTTTAAGTGAAGCAGAACAGACTGACATGTCATTGAATGCAACCTTAATTTTAAGCAGCTTTGTTTAGACTGATGTTCTCCCACGCAGGGCGTTTTCAGTTCTCGAGGAGAAAAGATCCTCATGGCAGATGCTGACGGAGCCACAAGGTTTGCAGACGTCGAGAAACTCGAACAGGGACTTGACGGTCTACAGCCTTGGCCGGTGAGTGTGAGAACGCCATTTAAATTACCTTCCACTGAGAACACGGGGTGCAAGTTACAAATCTGGGGCTTTGGGGTGTGAAATTCCGGTGTGCGGCCCCCAGAAGAGCCTATGGTCTCCGTGGAAACTCGCGGATGCCCCGAGGCTCGCCTGCCACCCGAGTGTCTGATACACAGGCCCTCCCCCCGTGCGCACACGCACCTTCACCAGAGCCCAGAACGGGGCTCTGGGCGCCCTGGTTTTTGAGGAGACAGACCCCCGCTCAGCAGCCCTCTGGGAAGGGCGCAGGCAGCTCCGCGCCATCCCCTCCCCGAGCGTCGCACGTTTCCTGGGTGTGTCACACGTCCATTCTCCCCAAATGGCGCTGCTGCTTCCGCCTCTTCCTAAGTCTTGATGAGCCAAACGGAGAATCTGCTGGTCGGGATGGTGGGTTCGGTTTTCTGGTTCCCCCGAGAACCTGCGCGGAGCCGCTCGGGGTCTCCCCTGCGCTGTCCCACGGGCCCAGGGAGCCGAGGGGAGGCGAGGGTTAAACGTTAGCATCTGACTTTATTCCGTCCTGCAGTAGGGCAAAGAGTAAATGATTTACCCAAAATTAAGGGGCTGCAGCAGACAATAAGGGGTAACGAGCAGCAGGAATACTCTTGTGAATCGGTTCCCTTTCTGGCTCTCTGAAAACGGGGGAAGTTTCGATGCCCCCTGTTCTTCCTGAGTGAATGTGCTGCTTTGTGCGGCCTCGAGTCCTGCAGAACTGAAGCATGCGGCTGTTCTAGGCGTGTGCGGATTGTGAGTTCACGGCCGCGGGCCGCCTCAGGTGTGCCTGGTTAAGAGTGTTAACAACCCACCACGGAATTAACTTGAACCCAGTGTGTTAACAGTTTTCATCAACATCCATCACATAACGTTCGTGGTAAGTGATGCGGGGTTCAGTTCCGGAGTCCTTAGTCTTTGGGTCTGCCCGGTGGAAACGACTGCCCTGCCTCCGCCCGACTCGGATGGAGCTTCTGGAGCCGGTCATGGCCCCCAGAAGCTCGCACTCTGAAGCTGTCCTGCGTGAAGGGACTGGAAGGAATCCTCTGATTGTCAGTTTGCCTGCGAAGGGCCACCTGTGTTTTCAGCTTTGTGGTCCTGACTCAAAGGCAGAGGCGGCAGGCAGCTGAGAGGTCCAGCCGGGGGTCCAGGAAAACTCCCTGTGCAGACACGAGGCCAGGCTGGACCGCGGGCTGCGGGTTTGCAGGTCCTCCGGTGGTTTCACTCAGCTGTTTAATGTTGGCAACATTGTAGCCACCAAAGGACTGGTCGGCCTCTGCCCTGTAGCCTGGTGGAGCCCGCACGCCCCCGTAGTCCTCCGAGTTGGTTTGGTTTGTGTAGCTACACAGATGGCTCTTCTCCGTGCCAGTCCTTCGCAGCCGCTGCCCACGGGCGGCTCTGGTGGAGGCTGCCGGCAGCTCCCCCGGTCTGTAAGAAGCGCGTTTCTTTTCCTCCCAAGGCGTCGCTGCTGCTGGTGTGCTCTGCGCGCCACGTGACATTGTGACTGTGGCCACCTCTGGGTCCCCACAGCGGCCTTGTCATTGTCTCTGTCTCTGCGTGTCCTTGGCCTTGTTTCATTCAGGAATGAAAGTGCGGCTGCAGCTTGATCTCTGTTAGATGTCTGCAGGTTCAGTTGCTCTTCTCTGGGTTCTTAACGCAGCTGGTGTTTCGTCGTCAGTGTAACTGAACCACAGGTTGCGTTGGTATCGCTGACGTGTGTCCCCTTGGCCCCTAAGGACAACCTTGACCAGAATAGCTCAACAGGAGTGGCGCCGGAGCGTGTGGTTCCCAGCGGTCCGGTCTCCCCCCCCCCCTCCCCCCTCCCCCTCCCCCTCCCCCTCCCCCTCCCGAGACTGTGGGGCTGAGTCACTAGGTGGCGGTAGGGAGCCCGCTTCCGGCAGCTGCTGGTTGGACAGGCTCCATCCGGGTCTTCTGCGCGTTCCCACGTGTTCTTCTCCGCTGGTTCCGGTTTTTTGCAGCAGAGCCGCTGCTGCTCCCTCCCGTTTCCTCCTGGTGACCGGGTCGTGAGGTCCTTCGACTCTTGTTGAGGGGCTAGACGCCTGCCGTTCCTTCTCTGAAGATGGTTGTCCTTCTAGGATTTCAAACCTAATGTGCGTAATTTAGGTAGAGCTTTGCATCACAAATAAATAAAACGGGCCTGTACATTTAGTCCCAACTATTTTATTTGTATTGTCCTTTTTTTCTGAAGCATAAAGCGTTTTTCTAAGCCCTTCAGTTTCCCAACCCATAGTTATTTTACATCTTTTAACAAAAAAAATGTGCTTGGTTCTATAGTGATTTTTCTAAGCAAACCACGTGCAGATCCCTCGTTCAGTGGCTTCACTGTTTGATATGGAATCAGAAGTCCCCGCACAGGCGCGACAGGACCGGAAGTGCGCTCACCGAGGTGTTGGACGTCCTCGCTGAGACGCTTTCTGGGGGTTGAGGCCACACCTGGTTACCAGTGACCACGCAGATGAACCAGGTGCGGGGTAGGGTCGAACTGCCCGCGTGCCCAGCCGCTCTCTCTGCAGCGGGTACACCCCAGCCGCCCCGCCGGCCCCTGGTCATCCGCGCTGAGGTCCACAGCCCAGCGGGTTTGGGGCGCCGTGCCGCCACGGGTGTGTGCATGGGGGATGCAGAGGTAGGACAGGCCCACTGCCGCTTCCCATTGCTGCGGACCCATGGGCGGGTCCGAGAGCCTGCGCGTGGGCTCCACCGAGATGCCTCGGCTCCCGAGAGAGACCCTGAGCTTCCCCAGTGGAGCCCCCGGGAAAGCAGTGGCTGTGCCGGTCAGTTTGCAGAGACCTTCGTGAGACCGAAACAGGAGAACACCGGCAGCGCCGGGAAGGCCGTTTTGGAAGCGCGGAACGGTGGACAGGGTGCAGGTTGCAGGGGGTGCTTGTCTCCGCGGACGGCGGGGAGGGGCGTCTGCACAGCTTTGAAGGACCAGGGCTGCAGGTCAGAGGGACGTGGGAGCCCACGGCCTCGTGTGGAGAGTGGGTGCCTCTCAGAGCTGGGCCGCAGGCTTGTCCGTTCTGGGATATTGAGCCTGTGGTCAGCTCCGCCGTGATTTTCACTAACGACAGAAGTTCCGGTGAATTTGCCATCCTCGTTACTTTCTGGAGAGACGCTAGTGGGGCGCCTCTAGTCACACGAGAGGAGGGAAGGGAGTAACCTCGCCGCCGTCTCTTCCCTGGACTCCCTGGTGCTGCTACCCACGTGGAGGGTCACGGAGCCGAGGCCTGGGTTACAGGTTAGGCCCCTCTGGCGTCCCTCCCCAGCCTCGCTCTGCGTGTGCGTACTGTCCAGCACTTTTTCAGAACAAGTTGGAAACGTGAGTCGCAAGCTTTAAATAGGCCACATCCGCTGCCAGCCTTGAGAAAATTGCCTTAAGGAAATAATTGTGAATGTGTATAAAAAAATTCTCAAGGGTTTTTGCTTATTTTTTATGTGGCATTTTATGTTTGCATGTTTTTTTAGTAAGAGGAAAAAATGAGGCACAATTTAAAATGCTCAATTTTTTACTGATTTTCGGAGAGAGGGGAAGAGAGGGAGGGAGCGTTTACTTACTCATAAATTCACTGGGTGATTCTTGTATGTGCCCTGCCCAGACGGGACCCTGATCCCAGCGCTGGGGAACAGAGCTCTGCCCACCTGAGCCAGCCTGCGGGGTGCCTGAAGTGTCCAATGCTAAGTCGAATTGGTGAAGTTAATGATAAAGAATAACTGTTCAGTACACATAGTTAAGTGAAAAAACATCTGGAGATACATGGGTACATCTGTCTATCTCTAGGGGGTGGGATGATGGGTATCCTTTCAAGTTTTTTTTTTAGGTTAATTTTATTGTTTGTTTTTAACAGTGAACCTGTGCCGAATTTAAGGAGAAGGGGTTTTTAAAATCAGAACTGTTTTCTTACAGAATAAAGCTTTGTCTTAATTCAGTACTGTGCTCCACACACCGAGTCTTCCCTTCCTGCCCACATTGGCTGACTGGGGCTAATTTTGCTGTCGGACTTCTCTGCCGCTGATTTCTGAATTATTTCCACTTCGTTTCTGTGTCTCGACCACCACGGTGCAGTTGCCGTGCCAATTTCCATTTCCATTTCAGTGCCGCTTAGCTCCGATGTGGGGGCCGCTCGCTCCCCCGCCCCCTCTCCTGCCTGTGGTGTAAGGACTGGTCACCCACGCTCATGACCCTGAGGTAACGATCGCCACTGTTTACATGTCTTTCTGGCGTGTAGCGTGTGTTCAGCACTCACTAACCATCCCCTCCAAATTAACACCCGGCTTCGCGCTTGATTTTCAGAGTTAATTCTGCTGCTACTGTTGATGCTTGTTGATGCAGATTGTTTTGGAGTCTGTTTCTTCTCTGAACGGTGAGGAAAGGCTGGAGCAGTGCGAGGAGAGAGGCTCTTCCCTGTCTGTGAGCTCTCCCTTCTAGGAGACGGGAAAGTACCTCGGCCGCTTTAAAAGCCAGCGGCTTTAAAAGCCAGCGGTCGTAGTTACCAAAGTAGTTACTAAAAAACAAAAACAAAACATAAAAGTCCTGGCTGGTGTGGCTCAGTGGATTGCGCCACCCTGTGAACCAAAAGGTCACAGGTTCAACTCCCAGTCAGGGCACAGGCCTGGGCAGTGGGCCAGGTCCCCAGTAGGGGGCATGAGAGAGGCAACTACACATTGATGTTCTGTCGCTTTCTCCTTCCCTTCTCTTCTGTTTAAAAATTAAAAAACATAAGAAATTCAGTGATACTCTGAAAGAGGCTTAAAAGAGAAGAGACTCCCCATCTATTTACATTTTCTAACATGGGCATTTTTAAAAACAAGAATGTCCTCTGTTCCTCAGGAACACCTGACCGTTTTGGAACCCGTCTGGGTGGACTCCACCTGAGCCATCAGCGTCCAGGGTTGAGCCCTCACATCAGAGCTCCGGACTTCCACAGCTCTCTTAGAAGCTTCTAGAGCCTGGTGGTGAAGGCTGGCGGAGGAAAGGGATGTTTTACATGGAAGTGTTGTGTTGGGTTTTGATCTGTCTTTAATTGTATTAAGTGATTGTTTAACTCTGCTCCTTCTGAAAGGTGGAAGCATGTCCTTTTCTGTCCATTGCCAGTCACGTGGCCACCCTTTCTGCGTTCAGACTCAGGGTGTAGTTGCCAGCCCAGCTTCTAGCTCCTTCTGTAAGGGGGCCGTCTCCCCACTTCTGAGGAAGTGCCTCTTCCAGGAGAGATGGGAAAAGCTAACTCTTATTGTTAAATAGTAGTCCGAGTCTGTAACAGGAAGTTCCAGAAAGGAAACACAGATGGCTAGTAAAAATCCCCCAAAGCTTACCTTTTGATTAAAAAAGAAGAAGAAGAAGGGATGTGAGGTCACGTGTGGTTAGCAAATTTACAATGAGCATAATTAGCACTGGCAAGAGTGCAAGGCGGTGGTGGACCACAGCCAGGTAGTGGGAGTGTAAGGAGCCTTTTAAAGAAGAATTTGGCCCATATACTTCGAAAACATAGTACTCTACCTCTGTGACTTTCTCCAAAGAAAGGAACCAAAGTACTTTTAAGAGTTTTATATTGAAAAACACTCTCTTCCGCTCTATTGTAATAAAATAGATGAATTAGGAATGGTCAGCACGTAGGCGGGTGATTCATCTGCAGAGCGAAATGGTGTGTTGAGCTTATAAGCAACACAAATAAAAGAGAGACACGCAAAACTATTAGGACAGATTCTTGTAAAATAGGCCTACACCTTGCCAAGCCTCTAACTCGAACAACCAGTTTACAGGAAGTACTGAGGACAGAGGGACGTGTCATAAGAAACAAATGAAGAGGTGGGCAGGCTGATGAGTGAAAGACACGCCAACAAACTTGGTTGACTTTTTGGCTTTTAAATCAAACAAACTAAAAATTTGGGGCAAATGTAGAGACTACATTGGATGGTGTTAAGGATTATTAGTAATGTTTTTTGTCTCCTGATGGGGCCGTGATTGAAACGCGTGCGGGTTTGTAACGTGTTCCCCAGAGCTCGTTCCCCGAGCTCCTGGGCGGGCCAGGCCATCAGAGCAGGTGGGACCGGCGACCGGCTGTGATCGTGGGAGCCAGGTGGGGGTGCCGGGGCTTCGTCTTACTCTCCGTACTTCTGTGTGTTTGGAAATGCCACGATAGAATGTTCAAGAACAGTGGCCTTGTGTATAAGAAATTTCGAGGTTATTTTAAATATAAAGGAGCATTGGCATACACGAGTAATAAACAGGAAGGCACAAAAAACACTCAAACCGTTGGCAGTGGCTCCTGTGAGGTGGGGAGGCCGGCCGACTTCCCATGGTAAAGCTTTGTTGTGCGTGGATGAGTGTGTGTGCCCACCACCACTTTTCCTGCGAGCTCCGTGACATTGTGTCGATCTTAGAGAGCGACTCCACGTTCGTACAGCGTGCACAGCAACACCGCGCTTATCTTCCTCCGCTCGCCCAGGTGCCTGGAGGGCAGCAGTTTCTCCGGTTCCTCGCAGCTCTGCTCGGAAGACACGCGTGTTTTCCTCTCCCGCAGGTGGAGGGCGGCGCCGAGCCCTGTTCTGCTGTCCCCACAGCCTGGGAGCTGGAGGTCCGGCCCGGCTTGTGCATCCAGGAGCACCCTCCCTGTTCTGCAGCCGCGTGGCTGGCCTTGCGGGAGGACAGCCAGTTACCCGCCCCGGACGACACAGGTGTCGGCCGCACAGAGGAGGTCGGCCGGCCGGGAGAGCTGCCAGCCAGGCCGCCCGGTCGGAGGAGGGGCGTGTCAGTGTTGCTGGTAATGGTTCCCGGCTGCCTTCCCACTTGGGTGAACAGGGCCCGGGGTCCCTTGCGTTGCTCTGAGTGCGAGGCGATCGAGGGTCCTCTCTGCCGGGAGCCCCTCCGCCCCCTCCTGTGAGCTCTGTGTGCGCCTCTGCCTGGTCCCCAGCTCCGGCAGGAGCGGTTTTCTTCATCGTCTGCAGGGGCTCGTTGTACATTTTGGAAAGTACCTTTTGTCTATAATACAAATTACATGTGCTGCCCCCAATTTATTAGTCCTTTAATGTGGTTGGATTTCGGCGGTTCTACCACACAGAGGTTTCTTTTTTAACTTTATTGTCAAATCGATCTGTTGTTCTGGGTTTTAGGTGTTTTTGGTTTCCTTGCAATTTAAGAATTATGTCTCTTTCACACTTAAACACGTGCTGTGTCTGGACCGTACCCTAGTCAGTAGGGGGCGCAGGCCCATGTTGTTTCCAAGTGGCTGCTGAGCTGCCCTGGAGCCGCCTTCGCAGATCGAAAATGTTGCCCGGGTCCCCCCCCCCATGTGTGCTGGGAGGCGTGTGCCCGGCCCCCATTCTGGGCCATGGGGCCCCCAGTGCCCTGGTTTCTGTCACTGCCTTCGCCGTGAGTTCTCAAGTCCTGGGGGGGCCCCCTCGCTCTGAGAGCTGCCTCGGCGCTCTCGGTTCTTTATTTCTCCTCCTGCCTGTCTAGTCCAGTGAACGGTCCCTTCGACGTTTGGATCGGGAAGGAGCCCTGACTTCCTTGGGCCACCGCTCAGTGGCCGTGGGACACACACACACACACACACACACACACACACCCCACCCCAGCTCTGAGAGCTGCTGCATTTCCTGGGGAGCTGGGGTCTGGGTGTTTCTTTATTGCTGCTCTAAATGCTGTTTTCCTTCCATTGTAAGTTTGGGTTATGGTCTGAACAGGTGAAGGCTAATGTGTTGTCTGTGTACATTTTCATCTCATCCTACTTGTTGCAGATTCACTTACTGCTTTTAATAGTTTCATAGTTGATACGCTTGGCTCTTTCACAATGTGGTGGTTGTGTGTAAAATGGCTCCACCTGTAGATAACTGTTTTCCTTCTAATACTGCTAATTTTCCTTTATAACTATATTAACATAGTATTTTTAATCAGAAAAAAATTGATATGTGAATTTTGAAGTAAGACTCATACTTAGCACTGAACAGTATCCTCTCAGTAAATGCAGTCAGGCTTCTCGAAGCTGTACATATTCCGCACTCTTTGATAAACCTTTAAAGATGTTTAATGTTCCTTTTTCAGAAAGTGAGTCTCTAAAAGATGAGATGCTCACTCTGAAGGTCAATGCCTTTGTTGGTGCCGTGAGTGAAGTGTTGTCTCCCGCTCTCCCCTCAGGGTGGAATGGCCGTGGCCTGCGGATCTCGGGCTCACTTGCAGGAGGAGTCGGTCGCTCAGGTGAGGGCCTTGCTGGCCGAGAAGGCGGGTTGTCCGTGTGTGTTTTTCTCTCGTTTTGTGGGAACCAGAGGGATGCGGACGCCACTCTGACCTGGGGGGCGAGCAGCTCGTTCTGAGTTCTTTTCTTAAGACACACAGAAGGGCCCCCATTCCGTTACAGCATCGGGCAGAGGGGTCTAAACGGTACCCTTTGGACCTGCGGCCTGCTTTCAGGTTTTCCTTATTGGCACACTTAGCTGCTGTATTGTGAGTTTCATTCAGAGTTTAAATTTTTTTAACTTTATTTCTCTCAAAAAAACACTATATCTTAAAATTTGACAAGCTATAACTGGCGTTTTTCAGCACTTTTAAGAAAACTGAAGATACTAAGTTCATTTTGAAACTGGTAGATGAGGCAGAAAAGCTGGAATGACTTGAAACAAATATTATTAAGGAATTTATTCTATGCAACGTCCTGGGGTTTTTTACATTAAAAAAAATTTCAATTATTGTTGACGCACAACAGTATTAGTTGCAGGTGTACAATGCAGTGATTAGGCAGCTACTTGTGTATCGAGTCCAAGAACTGCCCCTTGTCTTCTTAATCGGCCACCTGCCATAGGGCTCACGTGGGTCAAAGGACAAGCCGTATTTTTCAGTGAAAGGTCAAAATTATTGGGGGGGGGGCGTCGGTTTTTCAAACACGGGTGTTCAGGCATCCCGGACACTCAGACCGCAGCCCCGGGCGCTGGCCGCACTGGAGCAGCCTCCCGGCTCCGCCGGGACATCCAGGACTGTGAGCCCCCCACCCCTGACAAAGTGGGCGCCTCTCCCTCGAGATGAACAGGCAGCAAAGTCGTAGAACCTCTTAAGGATTGTGTTCTAAGCATGGGAACCTAGAGTTCCCCCCCTTTTTAAGAAATAACTCTAGCATCTTCAGCATCTAGTTCAGAATTGTTTCCCTATGGACTTTCATTGGTATTTGAAAAAGATCTAATCTGTTAACCATAGGGAATATCAGTTTTAGAAATTTGAAACTAGAAAAGTTAGCGATTAGCTAGTCTCTATCCCTTTACAGATATGTGAGGGCTAAAGAAATAAAAATACATGTCCAAGATGTTCAGCACATTAGTTATAATAATAAAACAGTGGACACTGTAAAACACTAAATTCCAGCGCTAGTCGATACAGGTATTTCCCCCGGGGGAAGTGTCCTGCAGACAATCAAATAGATGAAAATGGAGACTGTATCACATGGAAAATACCTAAAATATTAGGTTGTATTTTAAAAACTGGTACTGTAAAACAGTATCGTTGTGCAAAAATATCTATGCAAACAAAAAACATTTCATGAGAATAGATGAATGTTGATTTAATGGTTTTGTGAGTAAACTACTTCCTTTTTAAAAAACTGCTGGCGTTGGAGGATAACGATATACTTGGTGCAGGACAGAGAGGGTGGGGACTGGGAGCTGGGATTGGGCAGCGGTTGATGGAGCCGAGGCAGAGAGGGCTGGGGCCTGCGTTTCTCCGGTTGGCAGCAAGGAGGACCCACGGGTGTCCGTCTGGTCGCAGCGCCCCCCGCTGGTGGAGAACCCGGACTTCAGACGGGGCTGCACTGTAGCCTGAATCCTTGCTGCTCAGCGTGGTCTGAGTGGAGGTGCCTGGCTCCCTCCCAGGGTGTATGTGCTGCTAACGCTTCTTGTGGCCCCCGGGCTGCGAGCTCCTGCGTCCCTGAAGCCCGCAGGTGGACGGAGCTTTGGGCCCACAGCAGTGGCCGCCGGGTGGGGTTAGAGCTGCCTGCCCCGGCGGCAGCAGCACAGGTGCCATTCTTTGCTGTAGGTGAGGGACACCTCCAGTGGCAGACAGGTGACATGCAGTGACCCCAGGAGCTTCACTGCATAGGGCCAGAGTTCCCTCTTCTAACGACCCTTGCCCGTGGCCCTGGCGGGCCCCGCCACGTGTCCTGCGTGGAAGACAGACAGGGTCGGAAGTGCCCAAGCTCACAGTCTGTGAAAGATTCCAAGTGGAATCCATCAGAGTTTCGAGTCTCCAGGTTTTCTTGGGAGGCTGCTCTGAACATCTCACTCGCAGGTAGGGAGGTTCCTGGGCAGCTTTGACCGTGGCCCGAATCCCCCGTTGGTACTTCAGAAGCATCAGCGAGATGCTGTCACCGTGGGAGTCTGAGAGCCTTTTCCTTCGTGTGTTTAAGTCTCTGCATCAGCGGCTTGCGTGGTGCTCTGCTAAGAGTGACCTTGTGAACCCAGTCCACCCAGTACTGTGTTTCCAGATGTCTTCTCAGTTGAAGCTACTTTTCCAAGTTTTTCAAAAGTAAAGACCCCCCTCTTTGTGGCTTATGCATTTAAATATGCCACAAATCAAATTTAAGGTATTCATGTGAACTCCAGGTTTCTAGGTTTTATAAAATAGCTATTATCCTAAAACAAATAAAAGTCTTCTATTCAGATCTCAGAAAAGCAGTCACGAATATTTTATTTGCTAAGTAGTAAGCTCACCTAAATCACATTTTAAAAAATCATTCAAGGAGAATAGCTTTTAGGTATTATTTTTCTACTTTTAATTTTTATTTTTCTGTCTTTGAATATATATTTTTTCCTTTCCTAAGTGTAAATGCTCTTTTGGAGGTTTAGTCAGTCAGCCGCTATTTACTGGAAGTAGTTTATGTGGAAGGCCCCGAGCAAGCTGCTGTGATATTCACAGGCTGTTCTAAGATGAGGTTCTGTCCAGACAGGAAGGAGGTAGGACGTGTTCCCGTGGAGACCCAGCCAGTGGCTGTGGGTGGTGACCGGGTTCCGCACAGCACAGAGGAGCGTTCTGCTCCCTGCGCATCCTGCCCTGTTTAAGACATGGGTGCAGTCGTGTCAGGAGGTTAAAATGAGCACCCCAGCTTTCTTTTTAAAGAATATCTATTGAGCTTCCGCTGTTTCCAGGGTTGAACACTGGCCGAAGGCTCTGACATCGTCCTGTACAATCCTCATAACGACTTTCAAAGCAGGCCCGTTCTCCCCGTTTTCGGGGGCGGGGAGAGACGCAGACAGTGGGAGCGAGCGGCTGGCTCGCCATCACCCCAGCGGTTCGTGGGACCAGAATCTGAACGAGGGTCTCGTGGCCCAAGGGCTTTTTCCCATTTATGTCATGCTGTCAGCCAGTCACAGATCTGTTCTGTGACAGAGAAGCTGCATGAGTGGGGGTGGCCCTGAAGGGTCACCATTATGCAAACAAAACCCCAAAGAAGGAAGAGACCATGGTTTACTCGTGCGAGGTATTAACTGGTCTGTGCAGACTCTTAGGAGGTTGTTCATGCGAGTGTATGGCGTGCAGTTCCGCGAGTCTGTTAACCCTGGTCACAGAGAATTTTCAGAGAGCCCATGTTCTTTAATCCCAGGTGTGAAAGTCTTGAATGTGATGCTAATTACGTTTTCACTGTTGAATGAATAATGGGCGTTATGTGCAGTCCCTACTAATGCTAAAACTAGTCACTAATAGCGATAGCGAGAACTCAAGATGGGAGTGCAGGTGACTGCCTGCCCTTCATTCTGGGAAGCACCCTACCTGTTGAACGCGCTGACCCAGACGCCTGCCACTCCTGATCAGAGGAACCGGGTTTCTGTGTCCGGTTCCGCCCTAGTCTGTAACTTGGGTGACCTCAGGCTGCACCTCTTTGATGGGTATTCTTATTAGCTAGGTATTGAACTTCAGGTTCAGACTGCCCTTTCATTTGTGCAACCCCCTTCGAAGCGAAGTGTGTCTGGAGCGAAGGGCACAGAACGAGTAGGTGAAGGCGGAGTTCTCTCTGCTCGCGGCTGCTCAGACTGCCCGGGCTCCGCTCCCGGAGAGGCCGCCGACCTCCTCACGGGCCGGCGCTTCTCCGCCAAGTGGACCCCTGCGGCGTGACCACCGTCCGGTGTCCTGCCCTCCGTAGCCGAGTCTCACGGCCTGTGGGCTGCGCTGCGGAGAAAATCGGGGAAGGAGGGTTTGGTGGGCAGCCTGGGCCGATGGGAAGCTCGCGTCCCTGTCTCCCCGCAGCGCTCGTACTTCCGCACCCTGCTCATGTACGGCTTCCACTTCCTGGTGTGGTTCCTCTGCGTCCGCGGGATCCGGGACACGCAGTGCGGGTTCAAGCTGCTCACTCGGGAGGCGGCGACCCGGACCTTCTCCTCGCTGCACGTGGAGCGCTGGTAGGTCCCCGCCCGCGCAGCCGGTGCTCCCCTGCGCCCCGAGGTTCTCCGGCCACCACTGCGTTCAAACGAGCCCAGCTCACACGAGCGGCCTCACCTGGGCCTTTGCGCCGTTACCGGCCGGTCTCGCTCTGCAAATCGCGAAGCAGCGGAGGGCGCAGCTGCCGCAGCCACTTTGGGGGCAGACACGGCTCAGACGTCCCGTGCGCTCGGCTGTGTTTTCCTTTGGGCAGAAAAGAAAAGGCTCAGAAACGCCCAAGCAGGAGACAGGGCCCGATTTTTTTTTCCCTTCCTTTCTCTGTGTCCAGCCTGAGCCCTTCCTCCCCTGCGTCCCTTCCCCCTCCAAGAGCCCAACTGCTCTTCTCTCACAGTTCTGAAAACAAAGTTAAATTTCCCGTTATTTAAAAAAAGCCTCCCAAAGACACTCCCCTCCACCCACCCTGGCCCTCTGCCCCTTCCTAGCCAACCTTGTCCCGTTTCATTCACCCCCCCCCCATCCGCACACCGGGAAGGGCTGCCTTCATTATTTAAATTTTTTCTGGAGCCCGCACAGCCATGCTCACCCCAGGCGCTTCCAAGTAGTGACAGGGAACGCCGGGATTTGTGCGCCCGTGTCAGTCTGGCCGTGGGCTTGGTGGAATGAGAGCTTCCCGTCTGGTGTGAGGGCGCATTTAAATCGGTCCGGCAGAGGTCTGGTCGCCCGGTCTCTAAACGCAAACCCCTGGCACTGTTCCAGGGCGTTCGACGTGGAGCTGCTGTATATAGCGCAGCGCTTCAGGATCCCCGTAGCCGAGGTCGCCGTGGCCTGGACTGAGGTCGAAGGTGAGAGTCTTGTTTCTGCTACAGGGCTGGGGGGCGTGGGGGGCGCCATCGCTCGGCCCTGCTGGCTGGCTCTCCTGGTCCCTTCCCCCCACCCCGCAGCTGCCGCTCTGCCTTCTGCCGCAGTCAGCTCTGGGCTTCTCCGGAGGCCGCCTCCCTGCCGGAGAAACACGGTACAGCTTGTGGCCGACAGCCAGGTCCCAGGGATCTGAGGCCGACAGTGAGGCTGGCCATCTTCCGAGATCACCTTTACTGTCCTATCACCGTGTTTTTTAGAGTTGTTGTATTACTACTCAGCAAATGCTGAGTCGAGTGCCTACAGACCAGTGTGCAAAGCCGAATGAGGACTCATTCGTTTTTACTTCAAACGCCCACAGTCCATTCAGAGCCAGTTTTTAACTGGTATCTGTACATTTATACAGAAGTGGAGAGATCTCCAAGATCTATAATCCGAAGTCTGTCCTCAAATTCTGTTCAGAAGCGCTGAGGCAGTACTGGCTGGGAAGAGTTTAAAATACACTTCAGTCTCATTTGCCTGCCTCGGAATGATCCTGCGCCCGCTGGCACTGCCTGGGCCCTTGCTCCAGAAAGGGGCTCCCTGCTCGGGACCTGGGGTCTTCGGGACAGGAGGAGAAGAGCCAGCCCGAACTTGTGTGAACACTGCAGTCTCCAGTGAATTCTCTACTCCCTGAGTTTGCAGAACCGTGATGTCAGTAGCCTGGGTCCCAGAGGACTGTGCCCTCATGCACTCCCTGGGAAGCTGGAGTGGGGAGACGGGGAAACGCACTTCGTATTTATCTGTTGTGCTCACTTGCATCCCAGAGATAGTTGTTTCCTAATGTGAATCACACGTAACCCGAATCCCCGACTGGTGCTATGAAGATAATACTGGCCCCTGATTAATATATAAGAAAGTAAAGCATCACAAGAAAGCACTGTGATGGTTAGCGTGTCGAAGAGGAAAGCTGCTATGTAAATTCAAGGCGGTGAGCAGAGGTCTTCTTTGAAGATCAAGTACAATTAAAACGGCAGTCAAACTGGAAACCTCTTCCGGGCAGATGTCCGTGTGTCTGCGGGTGGAGGACGAGTGGCCGCACGGGGGCGCCCTGTAACCGGGGGTCTGACCGCAGCCGGGTGGGCGGGGCCTGGACGCAGTCGTCTAGTCTGATGACCACAGGCTTCGCTTCTTGCCACGCAGCCTGGAGTGTCTTCCCGCTGGGTCTTGGGCGGTTTCGAATGTGTCACCTCTGATGGCGCAGCCCGCGGGGGCACCCCCGGCCGCGCAGCCAGGTCCCCGTCCGTGGAGCAGGGGACACCCGGGCTTCCGTTTGTGGCGTGAACGACGCGGAGGCGGGCGCGTGGACTAATGTGCTGGTGGCGACCAGCTCGCAATGTGTGTGACGTGAAACGGCTGCACTGCACGCTGGTGGTGCTGGCGCGTCCGTCTCAGTGCTGTCCGTCTGTCAGTCACGGGGGAAACGCAAAGGGAGAAATGGAGGAGGAAGAAGCCGGCGCGCCAGCCTGTAACCTGCGGTCTGGGCCATGTCACTTCACTGCCTGGCGCCTGTCCCCCAACCTGCCACTCAGCGGGACAGGGCGCCCTGCTCCCGAAGGGCCACAGGACACTTCCGGGGCTGGGATCCGGGGGCGGGGACTCGGAGGGGGCGGGGCGGGATCGGGATGGAAATCAGGTTTTTGCCTTCGGGGTCTTGCTGATTCTCGGGGGTCCATGTGAGATTGAAAAGTAGTGTGTAAAACACAAAAACTTGTCCCAAAAAACATTTGTAAATGTACAGATAGAATTAAGTGTCTAACATACATACAGACATAATGTAAATAGAATTGAGTAGAAGCTCCCAAGAGTCATGTAGACTGCCTTCTAAAGTGTAATCGTACAGTGAACTGACGTATTTCCTCCTGCGTTTTTGTAAGTTAATTTATCTGTAATCGCTTTGTGGTCGCAGGTTCCAAACTGGTCCCGTTTTGGAGCTGGCTGCAGATGGGCAGGGACCTGCTTCTCATCCGCCTGCGGTACGCCACCGGGGCCTGGCGGCTGGGGCGGGCCGGGGAGGCGGATTAGCGCGGTGCCGTCACGCTGTGCTGTGTCCTGGCGTTTTCCGTTGGAATTAAAATTTTTCGTAAAGTTAGGATGAACCTCTGCCATTGTTTGTCTTTTGATAATGTTAATGAATTCCCATAAGTAAATATTTTTATACATCTTTTGGACACAAAAAAATTTTTAAGGTGTTTATAACAAAAGTCAGTTTTTCTTTTGCTTTAGAAATTTTGTTTATTTAGATTATCACTATGATTCTGAGAAACATAATTTTTAAACAAGACAGAAGCAATTACTTTTACTCTAAAGTATCTTGCATAATTCTAATGAACCTAAATGTAAACTACAATCATTTAACAGTAGCTAGGGATTTACAAAGAAAGTTAACATGTTTATCTTATTTTTATTTTTTCAAGGCATGGAAATATGTGATCAATTGTTTTTACTTAAATCATTTTTTATTTTTCAATTACAGTTGGCATATATTATTATATTAGATTTAGCTGTATACCTCATTAGACATTATATAACTTAATACGTTATCATCCTAATAAATATTGTACCCATCTGCCAGCATACAAGTTACCGGACTGTCACTGACTGCACTCTCCATGCGGCACTTACGTCCCCGTCACTGTTACATCTGTAACAGCCGATTCGGACTTCCCGTCCCTCCCCACTTTCCCACCCGCCCTGCCCCCTCCCCTCCGGCGGCCATCCTGTTCTCCGCACCCGTGACTCTGTTTCTGTTCTGCGTGTTCGTGTGTTTTGTTTTTCGGATTCAGTTTTTGATGGGTACGTATTTACTGTCATTTTATTGCTCGTGTTTTTCTTTCTATTTTATTTTGTGATTGTTCATATTTCTTTTCTTAAAGAAGACCAAAGAAACAAAAACAGAACAACTGTACAACCAAGAATGTAATGGCAGGCTTAAGCCCTTACGTAGCCATAATACGTCACATTAAACGTGAATGATCCAAAATCAACAAGTAAAAGAGATTGGCAGAGAGAAATGTGAAAACATAACCCTACTGTTGCTGTCTGCAGGAAACTAAAAAAACAACAGTAGAGGCAGGCAGAAAATAAAAAATGGAGAAAGGTGTATTGTGGACCTTAGTCAAAGGAAAGCAGAAATGGTGGTTACAGCAGGTAAAATAGACTGTAGATCAAAGGTAATGAGTTTAGATCAGAGACAGAGGAACAGTATATAACAGCTAAAAAGAGTCCACCGAGAAGACAGAGAGCTTTACTGTGCACGCTATACACGGGAGCAAACAGCCAAGACATGTGAGGCAAAGCTTGCAGAACCAAAAAGAAAATCAGACATGTTACAGCTGAAGACTTCAATACTCCTTTGTCAACAAGTGTTTTTTTTAAAAAGACACAAAAAATCAGCAAAAAAAGAGAAAACTGCACCGTCAGCCAATGGAATCTATGGGCATTTATAGAAAAATCCACCCGACGGCAGCAGAACATGCATTCAGACGCGCCTGGAACAGCTGTCCACACAGACTGTCTCGGGCCAGAAGACACGTCAACATGTGTGAAGGAACTAAAGTCACAGGCAGAGTGGGCTCTCCGGCCGCAGCGGGATCAGCCTGGAAAACAGCAGAAACGTAGCAGGAAGATCTGCGTCCAAACCCTTGGAAAGTACGCGTCACATTGCTAAGTAATCCATTTAGTCTCGAGTGAAATTTTAAAGACACGCTGAACTGCCCTGGCCGGGTGTCTCAGTTAGCAGGAGTGTCGTCCTGCAACCAAAGTGTTGTGGGTTCGATCCCCAGTCAGGGCACCAGTGGGAGGCAGCCGACCCATGTTCCTCCCTCCCTCCCTCCCTGAACTCGGTCTCATCTAGTCCTTAAAGTGACGGCCTCAGTAAGAGACAGTGGAGCACAGGGCAGACGCCGTGTGCACTCGGAGAAGACGTGGGCACTTCGAGAGTGTCAGCTGTCTGCCTCCAGGTGGAACGTTGACTGCTCTCCGCTGATGCCCACGTCACCTGGTCCACCCGCATCGTCCACCGGGGAGCATCGTCCAGCGAGAAATCTCCAGCACAGAAGTCCCCAAACCACTTCTGACACGTTCATTCGGTCACAGCCCCCTCTCCACACACTGCTTATTCTTTTAGTGTGTTTGTTGCATTTTTACCTTTCTTGAAATAATAGAGTGTGCTGTGCTGAAAATGTTGCTTATTTTCTTCCATTTCAATTTTTAAATGGCTACATAGAAAATTCACCAATTTTGATACTTTCTTTAATGCATACTGATGTGCCAGCCGTCACAATACAGTCTAACAAAATTGTTTCAAGTGGAGAAGATAAAGGCACTAAGTACTACTAGAGCCTTGTACTGGGGGGAAAAAACCTTTTGGCCCATCCACTACATTTTTTAATCCTCACCGTAGGTGTGTTGGTTGACTTCAGAGAGGAGGGGAGGGGGAGTGGCAGAGGGAGAAACTGGTCACATACATGTTCCAACCAGGGACTGGACCTGTGACCTAGGCTTGTGCCCTGACTGGGAATTGAACCCCCAACCTTTTGGTGCGTGGGACGAAGCGCCAACCAACAGAGCCTGGCTGGCCAGAGCCTTCCTGATGTTTTTAACCACAAACTCCACGTTCATTCCACAGATACCAGTGCTGAGTGGCATCGTTGCAGGGGGCAGGGCTGGGGTTGCAGTAGCAGTCCAAACCAGCCCCCTCCCAGAGACCGGCAAAACAAACACAGCAGCTACATGATTCCACTCAGCGGGGAAAACTAAACAATGAGATTTAGAGAACAACTGGATCGAGGGCAGTTTTTTCTTATTTTTCCCCCCAAGCAGTCTCCCACCCCACAGCCCCAGTTTCTTCCAAAGATACCGGTTTTCTCCCGTCCTCGAGTCAGGATCCCTGCAGGTTTTTGCTCGTTCTGCCAAGTTCTGTAGGTTCTCCCTTCGAAAGGCCCACAGGCTGCGTCCCCTCTGGCCTCGTCTGGCGTCCCTGGCCCATGGTGGCCTGGCCCGACGGATCCCCTGCCTGCGAGCTCTTTCGGCTCCTCTTCCCCCACCCTTCTACGGTACAGCCCGCACATTTCCCTCCTTAATTATCGTTAGCCACGTCCCACTCTGCTCGTGTTCCAGTTCAAGTTCGGAAAGACCTGGGCCGCAGCATCTCAAGGACCAGAGTTCGAATTCTGAGTCAGACCCTGCAGGGTGGTGCCTTAAACTTCTGGCTGCTCAGCTGTTAAAAGGGATGGTAAGTTGCACCCTGAGACGTTGTAATGGGTGAAATGAGACGGGGTGAGTAAAGCCCTGGGCACCAAGGGTTTGGGGGGGCGGGGGATGTCTCAGCACGAAACACCTGCCCCCCCCCCCCCAGTAAACCAAGATGCTCCTCGGCCCCAGTCACAAGTCGCTCCTTCAGTGTTGTCCTGCCCCGTGACACTTTGCTTAGTTACCCAACGTGTCTGGCAGTCACCTTAGGGACTCTTCCCACTCTCAGGCCTGAAGGAGCTCTGCGCAGAGCGGACATCTGGGGGCTGGGGGCTGCACCCACCGCCACTGGGCTTGTCGGCTGTTTGGGTGGTGGGCATCCCTCCTTTGGGTGTCGCCCCTGTGGACACCTCCCTGGACCCCTGGAGTGGTCCAAGGACCCTCGGTATTTGCGTCTCTGCCAGTGAGGTCTAGTTCACTCAGGGCCAGTGCCCAGTGTCCACGTGGTCGGTTGCCCGGCATCAGGAAGGTACTCGGTAGCAGTGATGGGTGAACCCCCATCACCGGGGCAGCAGAAGAGCACAGTTAGGGCCCAGTTCAGGGAGCAGGGCAGGAAGGAGCCCCGAAGTGGGAAGGGGGTGTGGGCAGCCTGTCCTGGTCCAGCTGCGAGTGAACCCGTCCAAAGCCACACTGAACAGGAAGCAGGACAGCTGTGCAAAGCAGGGCGTTTGCATCCGTGGGTCTCAGGACACGGCCACACACTCACGCTGTGCCCTGCAGGTGACAGGTGAAGAGGGCCGACCCTTTTCCTGGGCAAGGACGCCTGTTCACAGGCTGCGGGCGCTCCCGCGGCTCCGGAAGGAGGGAGCCTGCTGTGGCTGTGTCCTGCCCTCCCCGTGTCGGGTCCGGAACTGCAGTTCTGCCGGAAGTTCCACCAAATCGGAACCTGTGACCGCAGCTCACCCCTCACACGACTCCCGGTGGGTGGTGTCGGTGGGAGTTCTAACAAGCAGGAGAATGGCAGCCAGTCAGAAAAAACTAAAGCCAAGCGTCTGACTTCCTGTTCGAGGCGAGGCAGCTCCTGCACAACGGAGCGCGGCCCGGAGCCCTCCTTCCCAGAAAAGGCGTTTCTTCTCGGAACGTGCAGGCCCTGTGGCGTCCGGCCGCATAACGGGTCAGCTGTCCATCGTGGGCTTGAGGAATGAACACGGGGCTTGGCTGCGAGACAGGCCGGCTGACCTCCCGGTGCCAGAGTGTCTTGGTAAGACAAGGAGGACGCACTCGAAGAATCCGTACACCCAAGCCCTGCCCACCCAAGCCCTGCCCAGAGCCGGGCGCGTTCTGCGACTTGCAAGCAGGGTGCCGGAGGGGGCGCCTACCTCCCCCCCACACACACACCTGCTGCCCCTGTCCGCTGCACGACCCACGCACAGAAGACAAGGACCCTGCCTGCGGCCGTGAGGGGGCCAATAATATACGTTTTTTAAAGTGAGCCACTTCCGAGTGGCATCAGTTCTGAGGGCCTCGTTAGCTTACCCGCAGTAAAAACACGCACCACGCACCCGCCTTTCTCACTCAGAGCGACCTCGACCTGAACTCTGCGCTCGGCCCGGGGCCAGAGAGAGGATTTCGGTTCGAGTTTAAGGTCCTCTCCCTTGACCCAGCCCCTCGCTCCGCAGCAGCAGCAGCTCGCTGAGGCAAACCGGGCATCTGCCAGGGCAGAGAACGCAGTGCTCGGAGAACCGGCCCGCGCAGGGTCAAGGGCAAAAGGCCAAGGCCTGGCGTTGACCTTTCAGGGGTGCCATGGGCAGGACTGATTTTTCGACGCACAGGAGCAAAGGGGTCGCAGTCCTACGCACGGTTGTCTCCCTCCACCTCTGCAGTGATCACTGGGCCTCTTCCCTGGAGACCCCCGGTCGACCCGGCACTGAAGGCCTTCCGTGCGGGGCTCCCTGGCCCTCAAAAGGCGGGCCGCCTACGGGGCATCCAGGCCAAGCGGCCGCTGGTACGTTAACGTCACTCCAGTCCCGCAAGGTTGTATCTCTATTACACTAGATAATATTGTATGTTAATGGCTGTTAAGCAAATAAATACGCTTAAGAACAGGACAGTAGCACAGTTCTGGGACCTGTTTGCACCGCCGCTCACCACTTGGAGTGGCAGGGGTTTCTGCTACCCGCACCCACGCAGACGAAGCGCCGAGGCTTGGCCCGTGGGCGAAGGGACCCCCTGGACTGCGGAGCTCTGGAGGCACGCACGGCAAGTGACCATAGCAGTGGCTGGGCTGGTCGTGGAGGGGGGCGGTGTCCAAACCCGGGTGCCGGCCTTTTATCTCTTCTGGTGACCACCCTCCTCCGGCCTCCGGCTGCAGGCAGGAAGAAGTCCCTGCCCACGGTGACAAACGCCGGCCGACCCCGTGGTTCCACCTGGGGACGCGGGGACAGAGGGCCAGGGGTCCGCCGGGCGGGGATCTGGCAGGCCCGGCCCCTGGGAGACGCCCCCACCTCCAGTTTCCGCGCACGTGGCCGGGCGTGCGGCGGGCGGGGCGGGCGGGGAGCAGGGCTGCTGGCGGCCGTCCAGGTCGGCGCACTAATGCGGGCGCGGAGGCTCCTCGGCTCCAGTCTGACTGACGCCGGCTGGGGCCGCTGATCCGTCCCCGCCGCCCCGGGCGCGCGCAGCCAGGCCCGGAGTGCAGGGCGCACGGAGCGGCTGCGGGGACGCACCGCGGGGCGGGGGGCCGCCCGACTGGGCGGGGGGATGAGCGCCACCCGGGACAGGTAAGCGGTGCACGGTGCGCGCCGGGCGTGCACGGCTAAGTTTCTCCCACCGTGGGGAAGTCTCCGAGGCCGGTGGTGGCGGCTCGGTTCTTTGTGCTCCCATCTCCTACTTCTTGGCGCGCCTGTTTGGGGGGTGCGGCCGGGAGTCGGGGGGCAAGGGGCTGGAGGGCGCTGCTCCGGGGAGGTGGCGCGCGCGCTCCCGAAGGCCGCCGCCCGGCTGCGGGCACCTGGGACCTGTCAGAGGAGGCCTGTCCCTGGAACCTGTCCCGCCGCAGGAGCGGGGGCGCCGGCTGTGCGGGGCTGGGGTTCGGGTGCGGGCAGGGATGTGCGCCGGCTCTCGGCTCCCTGCCCTGGGCCCCGCCAAGACCCAGACTCTGGCTGAGCAACCGCGCGCTGCGGCTGGAGTGGGGCGCGCGTGGGGTGGGGGCTGCAGTGCAGACATGGGGAGGGGAGGGGGCTGATCGCGCCCCAGCCGGCCGAGGCGTTTGCTCCGCTTACCTCTGCGGGGCCGCGACGAGGGGGGAGCAAGGGGCGTTAGGAGTGTTGTTCGGCGTCGCCGAGGAGAGTCGGCAGCTGGATGTTTGTCTTTTCCTGCGCCTGCCATTCGGTGCCAGCGCTGCGTGCGGAGGGGCGGGGGCGAGCCCGGAGCGGGCACAGGAGACTCGGCGACGCCGGCTTTGAGATGGAAGGAGGGGCGCGAGGAAGGCTCTCCTAGGAGGACGCTCGTCGCCGACAAGTCTTCTCGCCCGCGCCCGCCGCCCCTGCCCCCGGGTGGGGGGGGGGGGGGCTGGAAAGGGTCGTGGAGAAGCAGCCTGTTGCCGCGTTTCGGGGCTGGAACTGGCCTTCCTGAGAAATGACCTGCGAACGGTGCGAAATCTGGTTTTGGCATAAACTTGCGTGCGGATTCTTTACCCAGCAATTCACAGTCAGATACACGCACATCTTCAGGGCACTCTGGTTTGCTTCTTTTTCTTTTTTAATTTTTATTGATTGGTTTTAGAGACAAGAAAGAAGAGAGAGAAACATCGACTTGTCGTTCCACTTATTGATTCATTGGTTGTAAGTGCCCTGACCGGGATCGAACCTGCAATCTAGGCAGCAGATCCGAGATGCTCCAACCAACCGAGCCACCCCGCCCAGGGCCCGTGGACTTGCGTTGCCAGAGTCCAGCCTCCCGGTCCCGTTTCAGTGCCCTGCCTGGTTTCTGGGGTGATTTTGGGGAAGCGAGGTTTAGAGAGAATAATAGAGGGTAACTGGGAACGCACAGGCCTCTGATAACGCCACCTCCTCGGTCCAGACCCGCGTCTGAAGGGCCTCCTCCGTGGCTGAGATGGGGACGCCGCAGGCTCGCCCCCCGCCTGAGGGTTCCCGCGGTGGGACTGAGTGCCATGGGTGTTTGCACTTTAAAAATCGGGATCTCGATGTAAGAAGGAAGTAACAGGAAAACCTAGACACATTCTCCACACTCCAAAGGGACGAGTCACTGCAAGGCTCCCTGTGCTTGCAGGGGACTGTGACCAAGACTCTGGAGCACTTTCAAGTCCACGGTCACCCGAGAAGGACATTGCAGATAAGGAGATGATGTAATCGTTTATAAATAAGGGGCATGTTCAATATAATATGACAGAACGTTCAAATAATAAAAAACAGCTTTGAGTGGTCACAGCCACCTTCACTGATGGCAGCAAAGCTGCCTTCAGCAGACGGCCTCTGGCCCCACTTGGGTGGGACCTGGCCACCCTCGGCCTTCCTGCTTGACTGGCCGGCTGCCTTTGTCCGGGAGTGGCCCCCGCCCCGGCCTTGGCTTCCAGCAAAGTTTCGGGGAAGCCAAACAGCTCCTTCCTTGAGCACAGCAAGCTCTTTTTTTTTTTTTTTTTAAATCAGCATAGTGTTTACTAAACATCAAAGATGTAAACACATTTTAGGTGAAACCCTAAGTAGTCGACAAAACTCACACAGTCGCCGTCGATATTTTTACTTTGGCCTGAGCTGTTCGACTTTTCTTTAAACCTTCTTTTCCTTTTCTGTCCCCAGTTAATGAGTGATCAGCAACTATGCAGAGGAGTCAGCTCCTGCGTCCCTGACTGGCCCATGGCCAGGCACGGAGAGGAAGCAAGCGCCTTGGGTTTGAGGGAGACCCTGCCAAGAGTGTCTGCTGGCGGATAAACAACCGGAAAACTTGTTTATCCTTTCTAATTGTGGCAGCGGTTGGAGGAGAGAAACGGCTGTCAGAAATTATTTTATAAATATCAGAATATTTCGTTTCAGTTTCACAAACAGTTTGAGCTCTGACTGATGAGAGTCCACACTCTTGCCAGAGCAGAGACAGTGTCTAGGACGTGGCCCCTCTGGCCCTTCAGCTGCGAACTAGCTTAACTCTGGCAGAAACCAAAAAACCCAGCAATTTCATCCTCTTCTGGCTTCATGTGTCTGAAATGGTCCTGATCCACAAAATGTATTCTGATTTAAGGGAAGATGAAGGTTATGGGAAATAAGGAAGCTATTTTTTTTTAATTCGCAAAACATACCGCATGCAGTCTTAAAGCTCTGGGGGGCTTAGTGCAGATTCTCTGTGTGCGGCCGGAACATGGAGGGGGCTCAGAAGCTGCTGTGTCCAGCAGGATAGAGCCGGGCAGTGGATAGAGCCGGGCAGTGAGAGCGTGAAGCTCTTCTAATCGTTAGTTTCGAGGCTGTGGGGCTCACGGTCTTTGGTTACCGTTGCTACTGAGTGGAAAGATTAGCCTCAGAACAAAAGCAAACAGTAAACTTAAAAGCACATCGGTGATTTTCCTGCTGGCCTAGTCCTCCTCATGAGTAAGGGGCTCACCAAAAGAAACAACTATCGCTTGGCGATGAACCGACCTTTTAAAATAAGTGTTCCTGTAAGTCATGTCTCTTTGGAAACATGTGCTAAGTAAGGTTGTTGAGGTTTGAGGGTCTCCGTTAGCACCCGGAGCTGCCCCACAACCCCCACGAGAGGTGGAGTTGATCACGCAGGCCCACCGTGCTGGTGCCGCCCCCTGGCTGCCCTGAGCCCCGCCCCGCGCCGCCTGCTGTCAGCCTCAGGACCCCAGGCGCCGCGGGCCTGCCTGTCTGCCCGCTGCTCCCGAGTCTGGTGCTGCAAAGTGTGCACTGTGACCCCCCCGCACCCCGCTCTCCGCCGGTCTGCGCCTTCACTTGCACCGAGGCCTGGTCCTCAGACCCAGCCTCACCCTCCTCCTCTCTGACCCGAGCAGGTGCCGCCCATCCTCACGGGCCTCTCTCCGATGGCCCAGCTCGGGCGTGCACCTCCGCGAGGGGCGGTTTTCCACTCGCCACGCCGTGTCTCCTGATGAGTTACCCTTGTGCTGATTCATCTCTTCTCTGCGGGGTGGGGGGGTCCCTCCGTCCTTCCACTCCCTCCAGTGCCCCTTCCTGAAAGCCTCATTCAGGCCACACCTGCAACGGAACCCGAGGGCCACTCAGATAAAATCGGGCCTCCCGGGTGAAGGTTTTAATGCCTGGCTCTCAGGGAGCTGGTGCGGCACTTGAGCTGAGGGCTCGTCCTGAGACCCCTGCCCACCAGCAGCCCCGTAGAAGCTGCCCTGTGTTTCAAGTGAAAGTCTCCGGTTCTGTTCACAAGGAAGACGGCAGCCCGGCTGGCTGGGCAGGTGGGCGGCCGGGCAGGTGGGCTGTGGCCGGGGTCCCTTCGGCCTCGGCGTGGGGCCCAGTACTTCCAACAAGTACCGAAAGGCACAGAGGGTCCCTGGGCCACCAGCCCAGCCACCCCCGGGTGGACGGCCGTCCCCCACCGGCCGCTCGCTGTAATCGATGGGCCTGAGCCCCCACGTGGCCGTCCGCCCACCCACCACGGTCCGCGGGCCATGTGAGGGCTCGCCCCGCTGTCCCACCCTCAGTGGCTCTGTACCCACCACGCGTCACCGAGCAGGGCCTCCTGCCCTGGAGTCCCCTGCGCCCCACTTGTCCTCCCGACTCTGGCGGAGGCTCCATCCTCCCGTGGGACACAGTGCATTCGAGAATCGGGAGTGGCCCTGGCCAGGCCGCTCAGTGGGTGGGAGCGCCATCCAGATCTGCCAAGGTCGTGGGTTCGATCCCCAGTCGGGGCTCCTGCAGGAACCAATCAATGAGAGTCTCAACGGGTGGAACAGCAAATCGATGTCTCTGTCCCTCTCTCTAAAAATCAATCAATCAATAAAATTTAAAAAAAAGAGTCCTGGAGTATGGAAGTCAGTGGTGGTCAGATTTTATTTAATTTGATTTTTTGTTTCTGTACCCACAGGGCCCCTTCCTGTAGGAAGACGTCGTGAGGAGGTGAGGCTGAATGAGGGAGGCCTGCTCCAGTGCAGGGGACACCACCAGCAGGGGACACCGCAGAGGGACAGCCGCCGCCCTGCCTTCCCCAGTGTCCGGTGTCCAGCACCCCCCCCCCCCGCCACCGTCCTGTTCTTGGATCCGGTCTCTCAGGGGCACCTTCGGAAGCTGCAGGGGAAGCGCATCTGGAGCTCGGAGGGCGCGCAGGTGGTGCCCAGGTGCGACGACCTTGGACTCTGGTGCTCTTGAGACTGGGTACCTGGTTTTTAATGGTTTTGTTGTTTGGGGGTTTGTTTGGGTTTTTTCCCTGTTTGTTTGTTTTGGTCCCTTTCCTTGGGGCCAAGCTGCCAGCCTTGACTTTGCTTTTCGATCGTTGCACCAGCTGCTCGCGTCTCCTCTTCCCTCCCCCAGTCTGTTGCTCTGATTTGCTGTGAACTTGGAAATCTATCAGGTGCTTGTTTAAATGGAGCTGGAGACGGCGGGGACCAGGTCCCATGAGAGGTTTTCCTTAGGGACTGGCGACATCGGTTTTGGCTGGTGGGACCCTCTGCCTCCTTGCTTGTTCTCGGTCACGGTTTGTGCCGGTGCGGTGGTGGCTGGGCGCCGGTCCCTCCATTTCTGTTCCGATCGCCTCGCCTCCCCCCCCCCCCGTGTGACCCCAGGGTCACAGGGGAAGGACATGGGCCGGAATCTGAATCCTCCCCCCCCCCCGACTGCATGAAGAGCAGCGGTGACTGCTGATGGGAAAGAAACCGGTGCCTTAATTTTCATGCTCAGAGAGGTGCTGACAAGTGGGGCTCACGGAGAAGATACTGATTTTTTTATGTGAAATGTGCCTTTTTTGTCTTCTTTGCCTCTGATCTATTTCTGAAATTGTTTTCCTTTTTCCTGGCACTTTTTCCTTCGACCATGAGGATGTAGGGGGACTGAGTGGCAGTGTAGCTTCCTGTTAATAATGAAAATAACATCTCACCCTGGCTGGGCGGCTCAGTTGGTGGGAGTGTCATGCTGTACACCAAAGGTTGCAGGTTCAACCCCGGGGCACATCTGGGGGGCAACCAGTGGGTGTTTCTCTCTCCCCACCTCCTCCTCTGACTCAATGAGAGCATATCCTCAGGTGAGAATTAAAACAATAATACTAATCTCCCTGGAGGCAGTTGCACAGTTTCCTTTGCGTTAGTGTATAAGCAAATGTTATTTTTAAAAGAGGATGTTCCTCCCCCCCCCCAATACCACTGCCAGAGAAAATTCTACTTTGCCGAGTCAGCGCCGGGTGGAGGGAGCAGGCTGCAGGGGCGGGAGCCAGGGCGCCCTTCAGAGAGCGGGGCGTCGGAGGGGCACGAACCTGGACCCGCGGTTGCAGGCGGGAAATCATGGAGCACAGGCTTCCTGACCGCTCAGCCGGGGCGCTGACTGCTCCTCCCTCCGTCCAGGAAAAAAACGACAGGAGCTGTCTGGTGTGAGTGAACCAAAGTAGTACCTTTTCAGTGTGTGTCAAACTGGCAAAAAAGATCTAGTTTTTGGCGTGCCGCAGAATGTTAGTAACTAGTTCTCGTGTGCCACGAAAGGACAGTTTTTGTTTAAGGTGTAATTAGTTTAACTCTGCTGAACCTTTCTATACAAAGCTGTCTTCTGGCCCAGGCCGGTGGCCCCGTTGGTTGGAACGTCTTCCTGTGCACCGGAAGGCGTGGGCCCGACCCGTCAGGGCACATGCTGAGGGGTTAGATCCCCACTGGGGGGTACGGAGGGCAGCCAATCACGTTTCTCTCTCTCTCTGCCCCACCTTCCTTTCTCTCTATAAATATATCCTCGGGTAGAAAATTTTTTAAAGGTTTCTTCTACCCCTGAGCTAAGCTAAAGATTTATGCCAAAATTTACTCATAACAAACCCCGTGTAAAACTGAGCAGAAGTCCCGGTGGTGCAGGAACCCAGGCTGTTCCGTCCGTTAGTCCCGGAAGGCTCCTGTCCGCCTTCAGCCGCTGCTTCACGGCCGCCTGTCTTGATTAAATAAGCGGAGCTTGAATAGGGTGGCAGACTCTGCTTTGTAAATTCATGGTTGTTAAGCCACAACATCAGTCTTTCCAAATAAAACTCAGAGTGAGTCAAACTGCCAAGCGAAAACGGAGAACTTTCCAGCCCTCCACAGTCCACCTCGGCACAGGGCACCCAGCGAAGGCCGCGGATGCAGCCCAGTGACGAGTGTGGCCTTTTGTTTATTATTCCACTTGCATTTATTGACTTGAGTGAGAGAGAGAGAGAGAAGCATCCACTTGTTGCTCTACTCATCCCTGCGTTCGTTGGTTGATTTTCAAATCTAAAACACTTGGGTATTTTCTCCCTCACGTTCAACTCTAACCTCTTCTGAAAACCGTCCCGTTGAAGCTAACAGAAGTCCTGTGTCCATTTTCAGAGCCAGCCAGTCCGTTTCGGGGTCAGGAGAACGTGCACCCGCTTCCCAGCCTGCGTCGGTCACAGCAGGTCCCCGAAGAGGAGGAAGACCCAGGACATCCATGGGGGGTGCCTCGCCTCCTTCCCTGAGGGCCTGTGGGCCGTGAGGGGTGCTCGCCCAGCCCCCGCGCGCCCCGCACCCCCACCGCCCACCCCCGATGCACCCCAGCACCCCCATCGGCTCCCTCTTCTCCTTCACCAGCCCGGCCGTGAAGAGGCTGCTGGGCTGGAAGCAAGGAGATGAGGAGGAGAAGTGGGCGGAGAAGGCGGTGGACTCGCTGGTGAAGAAGCTGAAGAAGAAGAGAGGGGCCATGGAGGAGCTGGAGCGCGCCCTCAGCTGCCCGGGGCAGCCCAGCCGGTGCGTCACCATCCCCCGGTCCCTGGACGGGCGGCTGCAGGTGTCGCACCGCAAGGGCCTGCCGCACGTCATCTACTGCCGCGTGTGGCGCTGGCCCGACCTGCAGTCCCACCACGAGCTGAAGGCGCTGGACTGCTGCGAGTTCCCCTTCGGCTCCAAGCAGAAGGAGGTGTGCATCAACCCTTACCACTACCGCCGCGTGGAGACCCCTGGTGAGTCGCGGGGACCTTGGGGGGAGGATTGCGGCCTGGCTGGCGGACACCAGCCCCCAAAAGGGAGGAGGGCGGCAGGCAGGGAAGACCCCAGGGCTGGCAGGTGAGCTCAGGGGAAGGGCGTGTCCATCGGAGCCGGTCCTGCCCAGGTGGCCAGGCCATGCGGGGGTCGGGACTCCACACAATGGGACTGGCGCCCTCATTAATTTGAGAGGCCACTTGGAGGGCACAGTGAGGGCGCCCTCGCCAGGTGCACCCCAACCTTGGACTTTGGCCTCCAGCACGGGGAGGAGTCTGTGCCCATGGCTGACCTGCAGCCTGGTCCGCCATCTCTGTGTTGTAGTGGCCCTTGTGGACAATGACAGCTGTGTTTTGGGGGGAAAGCATTTAAAATAGGATCGGCACAGGCCTAGCGTGGCCCAGCCAGTCTGGCCAAGTCACGGACACGATAGGACTGGCTTTCTTGGCAGATAGCCCCTGCCCTTGGTTTACCCTGATGCTAACAGTATGGTATCAAGCTATTTGTGTCCATAAAGAAAAACACAGTCCTTCTTTTCTCGGGCGCCTCCGTTCTGCACCCAAGAGGACTGGAGGGGTCGCCTCTGCGCTCCTTACTTGGTGGGCTGCGGGCTGCGGGCTGCGGGCTGCGGGCTGGGAGGCACCCTGCTGCTCATCCGCCTCAGGAACGCACTGCAGGTCTCTCCCGGGACGAGGACGTCACCGCGGTGGCCCAGGCCCTCTTCGTGCAGTGCTCCTTCGAACTCTGTTGGCATTGGCACGGTGTCAGAGACGCCGCCTGGTGGCAAGCCCTGCGTCCTTTGCTCTCCAAGTCCCTCACTCTCAGACGATTCACGGGCAAGTCACCTCCTCCTTCCCGCGGATTCCTAGGCTGTGCGGAAGCAGCTGCGAGGCTTCTTGCCCGAGTAGTGTTTGCCTGGCGATGGGCGGCGTCCACTCTGTGAGGTCAGAGGTCGCAGGCACAAGCAGGGCTTCTAACGGGAAGGAGTCGGGGTCTCTGCCCCGCGTGCTTGCCTGGTCCGGTCTCCAAGGTTCCGATCACCTGGTTGAGGTTACTTCCTACGCGTAGACCTGAAAGTCATTGCTGGTTAAGAAAGGGATGACTGCATCGTGGCAGGTGAATGGCGGGCTTTGCGATTGGCATCCTGGTTCCCCGTTGACTTGGAAACAAGAACTTTTTATGGAAGTTTTTAACCGATACTTGTGGGTGATAAGCCACTGAGAATGTGGTTACAAAGGACAGTCACCCTGTCCACCTGCGGGAACGGCCTCTTTTAGTCATTCCTGCTTAGTTCTTCTCCTTCCCTCTCTGCAACTTCTAAAAATAGCTCTAGTGATACGTTGATACATCCGTCTCCAGATTTATCTCCCTCGAGTAATTTCATTGACCCACTAACGTCGGAAGGGAGGGTTCAGCTGATTTATGTTGCCTCCTTCCTTGCACCCTCCTCTCCATCCTTAATATTTATATTTTGGTTTATAGTTAACGGGTTTTGGGGGGCAGTTATGTTGGTTTGCACTGTGGAATGGGGGGTAAGATTTATTTTCCTTAGGGGGGCCCTGCCCACCGCCTCCCAGCTCTGGCACCGGCGACAGGGAAGCCAGGAGTCAGTTCCATTCGACCGTCTCTGTAGGTGACCTTGAGGGCTCCTCCAGGGCTTTTCGGATGCTCCGCCCGCCTGGGTGTTCGGCATTCAGGAGGCGAGACTCCATCTGTGTCTTTTCATTCACGGAGCTGTGCGCTCGGCTTCTTCCGTCTGGCCACGGAGTTCCCTCTCGGGTCTGGAAAATGCCCTGCGGCTGTTGCTCTGATCACTTGCCCCCTCTGTGCTCCCCACTTCTCTGCCTGCACCTGCCTTGGGCCCAGGTCACACCTCAAGGGACCTCACAGAATCCCTTCTCTCTGCTGGGCGTCCTGGCGCCGGGCGCCCTCCCCCTGGAGGATGGTGCGGCCTCCTCGGCTTTCGTAGAGAATCGGGATCAAGGAAACTCGTGTTCTTTTTAACGGGCGTAACCCTGAAGGGACGCACCGAAGCTAAGGAGCTTTATTTATAAGTTCTCTGCTGCTGGTCACCTTTCCCTCACTCACCTCTATCATCCGTCACTGTGTCTTTTACTGGACACTTTTTGTGGCCTGTGGATCTGTCTGGTAAGGACAGGGGGGATTTTTCCCTTCTCAGGAGAGACCAGGCGCCGTCAGGGTGGACTGGCCTTAGGAGAACTTGTTTTACGTCAGCAGCACTACTGAGCCCAAACCTGGATCGGTCAGCCTGTTCCCCGGGCAGGTGGAGGGGGATGTCTCAGACATCACTTACGCTGTTACTGCAAGCAGTGGAGCCCCATTTCGACTTAGAAAAGTACTTTTTTATTGGCCAAGTCAGAGGAAGACGGGGACGATTACATCTGCCCCAGGCAGGCGACAGCCGCCTTGCTGATTTCTGGGGTTGGATGAGTTCGAGTTTCTGTGCACGGCGCGGGCGGCACACGATTCTCTGCCGACCTATTTGTTCATGGTCCCACCCCACCTGCGATCCAGGCCTCACGGGCACAAACCCCTGGGGCCAGCCTGCCGCCCAGGAGTTCACCCTTCGGGCGGCGCGGGACTGCAGGCCACAGCTCCCGAGGCGGGGCGCAGGGGTGGCGGAGCGCCGCCTGCGCCCCTCACGCCCCTGCCCCTCTCCCCCCGCAGTGCTGCCGCCGGTGCTGGTGCCGCGGCACAGCGAGTACAACGCGCAGCTGAGCCTGCTGGCCAAGTTCCGCAGCGCCTCCCTGCACAGCGAGCCCCTGCTGCCGCACAACGCCACCTACCCCGACTCCTTCCAGCAGCCGCCCTGCATCGCGGGCCCGCCCTCGCCCGGGCCGCCGTTCCCACCGTCCCCGTGCGCCGCCGGCTTCCCGCAGTCCCCCGGGAGCCCCTCGGAGCCCGGCAGCCCGTACTCGCACTCAGGTCAGTGCCTGCGCCAACGAGGCAGCCCCGGGGGGGCCGGGGGGCTCGGCAGATACTTGCTGGGTTGAAAAAGCCTGGGGCGGGGAGAACACCTGCGAGCGCACCTAGGAAGCGGGTGTAAGTCACAGGGAAGGGGCGATGCAGGGGCCTCCTGAGTGAGAGAAGACACCGGCCCCAGCCCACGCGCGTGCCCACAGCATAGATGCGTGGGGGCCTGTTGTGATCCACCTCCTTCCTCGCTCTGTGAGTTCATGTATTTACCGGATCCTCACCATTCTGTACGGGAGCATTGCCCTCGGGTGTCGGGGGAAGGTTACAGGGTTGGTAAGAGTGGTCCCCACCCTCACAGAATTCAGAGCCTGTGGGAAGGTGAAGAGGGAGTCGCCCTGCACCGGCCCCGAGTGATTCAGCTCTCCCCGCATCTCCTCTATGGTCACTTCACACCACACCTGCTGTCTCAGGCGCCACACTGTATCGCATGGCCGAGGGTCCCCATCCCCCGTCAGCCATGGCGTCTCCTGTGCGTCGAGCAGAGAACCTACGCCGCCCGCTCCTTAGTGGGCGACACAGGCGTCTGGAACTTGGGGTGGAGCTGGGGTGACAGACACTGAGTTGAGGGAGCAGCCGAGCCCCATATCCAGTGCTGGCCTGTACACTCAGAACCTCTGGGGGTCTGGCCAGGAACCCGCATTGGTAACAAGTTCTGCTGGTGGTTGTAAAAAAAGATTTTATTCATTTATTTTTAGAGAGAGGGGAAGGGAGGGAGAAAGAGAGGGAGAGAAACATCCATATGTGGTTGCCTCGCATGCGCCCCCTACTGGGGACCTGACCCGCAACCCAGCCATGTGCCCTGACTAGGAATCGAACCAGCAACCTTTCAGTTCGCAGGCCAGCAGTCAGTCCACTGAGCTAGCCCAGCCAGGGCTCTGCTGGTGACCTTTAGGCTCCCTTGAGTGTGAGAACTGCTTGAATGGACAAGTCAGCAAAGGCAGACTGCTTCCAGTTCTTAGGCCGTTGGATTCTACCACACACGCGGGCAGGCTGCGCTGCACCGTCGCTGGGAGGGTGCACAGAAGGAGCCGGTCATTCCGACCTGCTCGCCGAAGGGTCTTCCTTCTGCCTCAGGGGCTTCTGTCACGTGAGGAACCGACTTCTGATAAGATGTCACCGTCTTCCTAGCCGTGGCCCGTCACGAAGCCGGTATCTGGGGGGAGGCACCCCCTCGCCGTGCCTGGGGCTCAGGTCCACATCAGGTTTGGCTGGCCCGGGTTTGGGGGGCAGATTTGCACTGTCACAGAGATGGGACGTCACCGTGGCCCCTGCACCCTGCACGGCAACAGAGGGGCTGGAAGTGAAGCTCATTTCAGAGAAGGTTCGGCTGCCTCCCTGTTGAAAGCCGGACAAGAGCCGTCTGCTGTGGGGACCGGCGAGGGGGACAGTCTGAAAGTCTCACGAGGCTGTGTGAACTCAGCGGTAACGCCCGAGTCAGAGGGGGAACTCACCAAGCCTTTGGTGCGGAGTTGGGACACCCACCTGCCAGTGGGACAATCACAGTGCCACTTCCTAATAGCCGTATCATGTGACTGGTTTCTCTTGAGCGAGGACACTGTCCACCTAGCCGAGCAGTCGGATGGCCAGGAGCCGGGTCAGGCTGGCTTTGTGAGCTTATCAGTTCAACACTTTTTGTTTCGCTGCTTTCTTTTAGTTGACACGCCAGCCCCATCTTATCATGTCACGGGAGCCCTGGGGACCCAGAGTGGCCAGCGTAGATGCCACAGCCGATGGTCACTTAATGCTGGGAATGCCCAGCTGAGGTAGCGGCGCAGCCTGACCAGTGTCCTCCAAGGCCCTCCTTTCCCCTGAAATAAAGCAAATCAAAGCTGGGGTGGGCGTGGGGGGCTGGCCTGCTCTTCAGCAAATGTCTGAAGGGGCTTCGGCCACCTCAGCACCACGGGGGGCGGGGAGGCGTGGCTTCTCAGCCTCTTTCCCAGGGTCCGGCAGTTTTTATTTTAACCCGACATTTAGACTCAGTTCTTAATGTTTTGTATGGAATTGGGGCATTTCAGATGCCAGTGGTTTTGTGCCATTTCTGTTTTTACTATAGATTTACTGTTTTTGAAGATTTTATTTACTTATTTTTAGAGAGAGGGGAAGAGAGGAAGAATGAGAGGGGGAGAAACATTCATGCGTGGTCGCCTTTCGCACGCCCCCTACTAGGGAGGGACCTGGACCGCAACCCAGGCCTGTGCTCTGACTGGGAATTGAACCCACGACCCTTTGGTTTGCAGCCGGCTCTCAATCCGCTGAGCCACGCCAGCCAGGGCCGTTTTTACGACAGATTTAGACTGGCGTGTAAGAGCGCTGCTCTCAGAAGTCGATGTACATGAGCATTCCCAAAACGCCATTTGTGTCTTACAGTAGGACCAGCAAAAACGTCACTGCTTTCCATTCACCTGTGGCCCGTGGCGACCTTGTGTAGCTGCAGTTTTCCACCCCGGGGTCTGGTGCGGGGCCTGGGGGTCTGCATTCCGAACGGGCTCCCGGGCGGTGCCGACCTGCGGCGCCGGAAGCACACAGAGTTTCCCACTTCCAGCGTCCCCGAGCGAGGGCTTGTGTGAGTTCAGGACCTCCCGTGAGCCCGACAGTCCCCGATGTACCCGTCTTGTAAGTCTGCGGCAGGTGCACAAAGGAGCATACTCTGGAAGGAGAATGACGAGGACGTTCAAAGAGAAGAAAGATCACGCCGTCGACAGCGAGGCAGAGACAGAGTGTGGGCGACGGAGAAAGAGGAACTCCGAGCTTTGCTTGGTGACGGAACTGAAAACTTTGGGGTGAAACCTCACATTCCCGGGTTTCCTAATGAAATGTGTGGCTCTCTCTCACATGTTTTTATGTCACGAGCACCTAAGTACTCCACATGTTCACCTAAGGGAGCGAGAGTTATTCTATTTAGGGGAGGTCGTTTTTCTTAGATAATTTAAAGTCCTATCCGGCGTTTCTGCCTGGGCTTTAGTCACATCCGCGGTGCGTCCCCAGTTGGAGAGAAAGCCGTGTCCCCACCCCGGGGCCCAGCCTGCACGCGGTGCCACGCCGAGCCGTCCCTCAGGTGGAGACGAGGCTGCCGACAGCCCCCTTCCAGCTGAGTCCTTTCACGTCCCTGTCGCTTCGCCCCCTCACTGCTCCGGCTCCGGGGCAGGTCCGGGCCGCAGCCTCTGCCACAGGTGTGTCCCCAGGTAAGCTGCCCCAGACAGTGACAGGTGCAAAGTGACCACAAGGCCGCTCCCACAGTCGCGCAGCCATCGTCCGTGTGACAGCAGGCGTCCAACGCTGCAGCTCCCCGCAGGCCTGATCCTCCCCCCGCCCCCCCGCAGACCTCCGGCCCGTCTGCTACGAGGAGCCGCAGCACTGGTGCTCCGTGGCCTACTACGAGCTGAACAGCCGCGTCGGGGAGACCTTCCAGGCCGCCTCGCGCAGCGTGCTGGTCGATGGGTTCACCGACCCGTGCAGCAGCCGGAGCCGGTTCTGCCTGGGGCTGCTCTCCAACGTGAACAGGAACTCCACCATCGAGAATACCCGACGGCACATCGGCAAGGGTAACGCGGGGGACTGGGCGCCGGGGCCGGGGAACTGGGGGGGGTGGCCCGGGGCTGGGGGGCCGACCTCCGTGGGGGTGGGGTTCGGGTGCGTGTGCGGAAGACGGACACAGTGACGGGTGGGGAAGCAGGATGAAATTATTGACTGAAAGGACTGTGAGTCACTTTTGAGTTACCCAGAGATGCTAAGTCAGGCAACTTCAGAAACAGAGGCATTCTGGCTGCTGACGCCCTGCAGGGGGCGAAGGCTCAGAAGCTGGGGTGTTAGACGGCCTGACTCACTGCGTGGGCAGGGACTGGGGTGCCCTGGGCCCAGGGCTGTTACCGGGCGGCCAAAAAGTCCGTTAGGTTTTCCCCGCACGACGGCTCTAGTAGCCCTGGGTCAGCTGTAACGTCATTGGAAACAGTTCTGTTCTATTGTGTTGTGGCAGCTGTCATCTGAGTGTGCGTTTAAAAAACACTCATCGAAATTGGTGAATTTTTATGCAACCTTTTTAATACTGAAGATGGACGAAGACACAGGACCTTTTCGGTATATTATGGTTTATTATCTCAAGAAAGGTAAAAACAACTGAAATGCAAAAAAAATTGCACACTGTATGGAGAAGGTGCTATAACTGATGAAACATATCATAAGTGGTTAGTGAAGTTTCTAGGTACTATTGATATTTTGGCCAAAAAATCCTTTGCTGTGGGGCTGTCTTAGGCATCAGAAGATGTTCAACAGCACCCTGGCCTGTACCCATCAGAAGCCAATAGCAGGAAATAGCTGACAGACTCCAAATAGCCAAATCAATAAAGTTATAGGTGAAGGTGAAAGTCATGTCCCTTATTTCATGGAAAACAGCCACATGGGCTCTCGGCCAGCCCTGGACCAGCAGCCCATGGGCCCGGCCTCCCCGGGGCCGACGGAGCCCCCCCCGACCCCCCGCTGACCTAGGTCGCTGTTTCTCTTTAACTGGCTTTAATGCACACACGTCAGTAACTTTTTTCATGATATGCCCTGTGCCCAGTTTTAACTGTTTTATTTATATGGGAGCCCAGAGGACTGTTTGCTGTTTTCCACATCCTGCGTCCACTTTGTATCTAACATTCCGAGCTCCCTGTCAGAGCGAATGGGAAGGTGACGGAAGGACAGGCGGAGTGGCACCTGCAGGAGAGCCGACTTGCTCGCTCTTGGCTCCGATCGTAAGCGTGGGTTGCCATCCGCTGTTAAACAGACTTACAGAAAAAACGCAGGTGACAGCGACGACCGGCTGGCGTTTGGGTCACGCTGTCACTCCTCTGTGAGTGATGCTAGTAGGGACACCACCCTCGGAGCAGACAGGCCGCCGTGGCGCAGGTGCGGGAAGGCTGTCTCGGCCCAGCAGGTGTGCACCTGTACTACGTCGGGGGCGAGGTCTACGCCGAGTGCGTGAGCGACAGCAGCATCTTCGTGCAGAGCCGCAACTGCAACTACCAGCACGGCTTCCACCCCGCCACGGTCTGCAAGATCCCCAGCGGCTGCAGCCTGAAGATCTTCAACAACCAGCTCTTCGCCCAGCTGCTGGCGCAGTCCGTCCACCACGGCTTCGAGGTCGTGTACGAGCTGACGAAGATGTGCACCATCCGCCTGAGCTTCGTGAAGGTGAGAGCCGCCCGTGTGGAGCAGAAGGGCTGTCTGTGGGCCCTGGGACGGCGGGTGGGGGGGCTGTTCAGCAGTCTGTGTCCTTGTTTGGGGAAGAGCACCTCGGCGGGGTCTCTGGTTCAGCCAATACAGGAAAATTCTTAAGTGTAGTATTTGGGGAGGAAAAACAACCTCAGGTACAATACTTATCTGATTTTTCTCATGCAGAAGATAAAGTGACAATTAATGCTTCTTATTTAAATTCTCACCTGTGCATATGTGCATTGATTTGAAACATCCATTAGTTGCCTCCCACACATGTCTCAACTGGGGACCGAACCTGCAATGCAGGCTTGTGCCCTGACTGGGGCTCGAACCCACAGCCTTTTGGTGTAGGAGACAACGCTCCAACTAACTGGGCCACCCGGCCAGGGTGACAGTAATATTTTATGGGACTTGACAGGACTCAGTGCTACAGTGATTCTTCCAGCCTTCAAATTGCCGAGCTCGATCGTAGCTCCGTAAGTGTTGATGAGTTAGCCCGAATGGAATTAGGGACTCCGCTCACTTTCAGAAACGGTGCAGGCAAGTGGAGGAGGCCATGTTTACAAACAAGCTACGCAACAGACCGACCCTGGGTCAAGGCATCGAGAGCTGAGTGCTTTCCAGGAAGCACCGGTGGGGCAGCGACACAGCAGTGGGGTGGGGCAGCGACACTACGGTGGGCGTGATCAGTTCTGTCTGCGAGTGTTTACTGACCTTCTCACGGCGGTTCTCACTGCCGTGGACTCGACGGTCTGAGAACTGAGGGAGTTGCAACCGGATTTGCACATGGAAGCTCCTTTCATCCCTTGCAGAGCGATAGCAAATCGTTCTAATATTTCGAAGTCTTAGCCTGTTTATCAAATGGCCTGGGCGCATTTGTTACCAAACACAGTGGGATTGGGGACCCCGCTGCCAAACACAAGCATCATGCAAAAATTGGTGGATAAGGGAAAAGGTCTTTATTAAAAGGCTGCCTAATTTGGGGGAGTGGGGGCTCCCCAGCTCCAAGCCAATCCCTTCTGCAAAACACAGAGAGAAGCCAACCGCCCTGCAGCAGAGTCTGGGTCCAGACTGCGGGCTCTGTTCTTAGCTGTTGTCCTAGGGCCCAAGGTGGTTACGCGAACGGGTCTCCGTCCCTCCAGCTCTCCGTCCCTGAACTGTGCGGTCAGCATCCCCACTGCCTCCCCGCCCAGGGCCAGGGGCGCTGCCAGGTCACTGGGCCCTACCCTGCAAGGGGTTTCATCCAAAGGGCCACAGTGCCGAGGCTGCTCGAACCTGCAGGGCCGGTGAAAGTTCCGGCGCGCCTGCGCATCCGTATGCTGCTGTCAGAGCACGGGGATGCCAGAGGTCCGGCACCTGTGCCATGTGGCAGGGAGCCACAGTGTCTTGCTGGCCACCGCTAGCCAGGCGTGGGGTCCAGCCCCGGACCAGGTGAGCGAGGGGACGCGGAAGAGGTGACTCTCTTTCTGCCCCCAAACCCCATGCAAGGTGGGAGTGTCCAAATTCCCAGCCAGTCTGGGCTGGCGCCCCCCGAGCCTGTCGGTCTGTGCAGCGTCCCTGGTCCTCCTCCAGCCACCAGGACCCTGCACCGACCGGGCGGGAGGGTCTTCTAGCCGCACACGGGCTGGAGTCCTGCCCCCGCTGTGGCTTCAGTCCACCCGGTGGGATGTCTTGCAGCCCCCCTCACTTTGGGGAGGGCGTCCCTCCCCTCTGCCCTCAGGCAGACCCCCTGGTATGTCCTGACACCCTGTCCATCTTGTCACATGTCCTTCCGAGGAGTCAGCAGGGCTTGTCTTAGGTATTTTCGAAAAGACTCGAAGGACAAGAGGGAATAAGTTGGAATAAGTCGTAGAGCCTTTGAGGCGAGAGCAGTGGGCACCCAGGCGGGAAGGGCAAGCCCTGTGGGAGCCCAGGGATTTGTAGCGGGGGTTGGGGGGGTTGGGGGGGTGGATGTGCCCAGGGCAGAAGGAGGGCGGGGCAGCTGGGTTCGGAGCAGCAGCCAGGAACAGAATGTGGGCCCTGGCCAGCATTCTGGGTTTTACTCTAAGGGAAGGGGAGCTGCCCTGGCTGCTGTGGCTCAGTGGACTGAGTGCAGGCCTGAGAATCACAGGGTTGCCAGTTCGATTCCCAGCAGGGCACATGCCTGGGTTGTGGGCCAGGTCCCCAGTAGGGGGCGCGTGAGAGGCAAGCACATTGATGTTTCCCTCTCTTTCTCCCTCCCTTCCCCTCTGAGAACAAATAAAAGCTTTAAGGAGGGCAGGAACCACTGCAAGGATTTGAGCGTCAGATTTTCATGATCTGACTTAGGCTTGTAAAGGCTCGCTCTGGCCGCTGTGCGGAGGGCGGGTCCTATGCAGGCAGGAGTGGGAGCCCAGCTGGGGGGCTGGCGCAACGCGCAGAGGAGAGGCCAGCGGGGTTTAAGGGGCAGGCTCTGACCTGGGAAGGTGGCCTCCGGGGCGGCCGTCCAGGCTGACCGCGCTCTCTTGCCTTGCAGGGTTGGGGCGCCGAGTACCACCGCCAGGACGTCACGAGCACGCCCTGCTGGATCGAGATCCACCTGCATGGGCCGCTGCAGTGGCTGGACAAGGTGCTGACCCAGATGGGCTCCCCGCACAACCCCATCTCCTCCGTGTCTTAACAGCCGCCCCCACCCGCGGCCGCTGCAGGCCGCGGCTGCCCGACCACGGAGGCGAGGCTGGCAGGCGGCCGAGCACGTGTGTCGGCCCTGCGCACAACACGAACTGCTCACGACTTGTCACCGCTGCTTTGGGGCTCGCTAGTTAACCGGACGCCAGCACAGCGCGGTTGGAAAGGAGGTGCTTCGGCCCGTGCCGGTGGGAGACGCGGCGCTGCCTGTGCGGGCGGAGCCGAAGGAGGCCGCCCGGTCCACAGGGTGCGGAGGGCGTTTGCGGGGCGCAGGGCGGAAGAGGCGCGGTGGGTGGCCTGCCAGGGACGCGCGAGGACCGTTCAGGCAGGTTTGGCTTTCAGAGCAAAGCGCTGCGCCGCGCGTCCTCTCAGTGGTCTCGCCTTCAGTGCTGTGAGCAGGAAGAAAATCGGTCTAATACGACCGATTACGCAGGAGACGCCACATCGGCTTTATTTCCGAAGTTGAGATACTTACAGCTGGACGATTGTGCTGATCGGAACGGTTCATTTCAAACAAAGTTAAACTGTGATCGGAAGTCATGTTGCCTCCCAGTCTACCACTGCAAAAATAATAAGTACAACAAAAAGTCCAATACGGCAAGACAAGTAGGAACATAGCTGGACAGGAGCTCTGCCGCCAAACTTCGAGGTGAGACCGGCCCGGTCCCAGAACCCACGGCCCTCGCTCCCTCGCCTGTGGGCACGTGTTAACTGTTCTCGGGTCACTGAGACATTGGGCCGGGACCCCGTCTGTGGGTTATCCGCTCCTTGTCTCCGTCAAGGGTAAATTATCTGCTGCCGGAATCGGGTGGCCTCTTTCTAAGCTAAAGTCTCGTGCTAGGAAGGCGATGATAATTTTATCATCTCTAATTTCTGGAGAACAGTGGTACTGAATAATAGGACATTTTAAAAAATGCACATTAAAACCATGTTCTTATTTTCCCTTGGACCATAAAGAGGAAAGGTCACCAAATTCCCAGGTACTCTCGTCTAGGTACATGTATTGTAAGCCCCACCCACTAAACACAGCATTGCCTGGGAAACTATTTCACACCCTCTTTAAAATGTACAGTTTAAAAAGGTAATTATGTCTGTAACAGATGGTACTTCTGTAATTCAAGAGGAGTCTTCACTCACACACTGTCTCAGCTCCTCCTGGCCATAGTGCCCACAGCAGTTGCTTCTCGATACCCTGCACACCAGGTAGAAAGGATTGTGTGAAAAAGACACACGTGAGTGACCGCCGTCACCTCCTGTAACGGCCAGTGTTCTCTGCTAGAAGTTTCCTGTGAGCGATAGACAACACCGCATTTCACAGAAGACTGGGCAGCCTGTTTAGTGCCCGGAAAACCCCGCACTTCATTGGTTCTCACGCTGTGGGTGGCGCACCTGTGTGCCCCAGGTGCGGCGTCAGGGGCTGTGGCATCAGCTGTAAGCGAGGGACAGCCAGCCCTCTGTGGCTTGGGTCTGACAGTGAACCTGCTCATGTGCGCGTCTCCAGGTTTCAGAGCTTGCATAGCAAAACAAAACCTGCCATCTTTCTTTAGCCTCAAAATTGATTTCTTAATTACCTCTGTCTTGAAACTCACTTCCCTCCTTTTCCGAGCAAGCAGGTAACGAGTGGAGGCTTCCTTGGATATACGCTGCTTGTCTTCCGTGTCCCCAACCTGTTCTCCCCCTGCGTCTCCCCCCTAACTCTCCGCCTCCCCTCTCCCTTGGAAGGGGGGAGAATGCAGGGGTCTTCCTCACATGAGTGCGGTTCTGTGAGAGAGCGGCTGGTCCGCCCGGCATCCGACCCAGAGCGCAAGCCCGGCTTTCTGGGTCGGAATTACCCTCCGGGAATCTCGCACCTTCACAGAATCCACCAGAGCTGGTTGTTCACATGTGACATTGCAAAGCCTTCGATTTCCATACAGTTTTGGGAGCCCGGGACAAAACATCCCAGCAAACCTGAGTTACTTGTTTGAAAAATAAACAACAAAAGTGGTACACAGACCTGGCCGTCAGCCAAGGTCTCATCAGACGCCTGCGTTGGGGTGTGTGAGGCCCAGAGGGTTTAGAGTTGAGGGAAGTTAATCCTTCAGTTGTTGTAATGAGGTCACATTTCACTCAGCCTCTTTTCAGTGATCATTTTTACTGGGAAAAGTCGTCGGAAGCTGTAATGCACTATTTGATTTCAGACTTAGAAATGGGCTCATTTGCATTCATTCCCTGAAGGAGACCATCCAAAAAATGTCACCCCTCCTTCCACAGGGCAGCTAGCCGGTGGACAGGCTGAGCCTGGAGACGTCCCTGTGGCACGAGCGTGCCCGAGGTGCGGGGGCCCAGGGGCGCAACAGAGAGTGACAACGTTTGGCCTGCTCACGAGACCAGAACTTTTACCCTGTGGTTCAAGCCTGTTTTGTTTTTCTTGTAAAAAAAAAAAAAAAAAAAAAAGAGGGAGAGATGTAAAGAGTGTTGGTTAGATGATATTGTAGCACCTGCCAGTGCTGCGCAGCTATAAAGATGTTGGTGTTCAACACACTGACTTTATATTTTTTACACTCGATACAAGTCAGAAAAAGCTGGGATACAACACAGCATTTAGAATCCTGTTTGTCTTCTCGGGACCTGAACACCCCACAACTACACATGAGCATTTGATAAGTATCACCTGCTAGACTTTTCGAGCCTGCTGATTTTCATATGTCCTGACTATTTGGTGTGTGTATTTAGTAGCTAAAGTGGAATATAACACGCATTCCAAACTCTGTCTGTCCCGGTTAGGGTATGACAGCTGAACGTACGGCCAGATCGGGTGACCCTGGCGAATGTTAAGTTTGAAGTCATGGTGAACAAAACTGTGGTACTTCTTTCCAGTCATGTTTTTGATTGTGACATCGAGGTTTCAGCTGGCCTCCCAAGGCGCACTTGCACCGTTATCCAATCGTTTATAATAAAGACTACTGCACCCCCGAGTCTCGGCTCCTTTTCCCTGCAGACCTCATCGTGGGATGGAAACTTAGGAAGATCTGAAACCGCCTCGTTTTGAAAATAGAATGTTTTAAAAGTGCGATATACTATAGGTGATGGTTTTGAAAAATTAAACATCTCGGGATGACTGGCATTAAATAAGGAATTTGAAGACACCTGGCTGTCCTTTTAGAGGGGATATCCTTCGCAGCTCTCTTCTGAGAGGTAGCAAATACTAAGTGGTACCGCAGCGGACGGGAAGGAACACACAATTTCATTATCGTGAGCATCGCGCATGCAATGCCACCCATCGGAAAGGCGCTAAAGCACAAAAAGCCGAGGAAACCCAGGAAGATCTCTCAAAATGTAAATTCACGGTTTCCTCCCTTTAAATCTCCTCTCGGTCCTAAAGGAGGAAAAATGTAACTTGCGAAAACTTAGCCTTGTTATTAACTTGATTGAGGCATTCCTTTAAAAAAGAAAGAAATGGAGCCCTTTATTCAAAAGAAATATTTGGACACCCTCTGGCTCAGGTACACGCAGGCGGGGACTCTGCGGGTCCAGGGTGAGCTGTGAGGTTATACAGAGCGGACGGTGCTGTTTGCTGTTCGCTGTGTCCCCGCTGGTTCCCGGCCCCGTTTTTTGCCTCTAGTGCGCGGTATCGACGTTTCAAACTTGACCAAGTACAGATTTTTAATAGATCATGGCATAGACATAAAACAGCGGTTTTCGACCTTTTTCATCTCATGGCATATGTAAACTAGTTATTAAACTTAGCACACCAAAAAAATTCTTTTTTGCCCATCTGACAAAAAAAAATGTATCATTTTGATTCATTCACAACGGGCGACTACTGCTGTGTTGGCTGGTGTCACTCTTTTTTTACTGGACAGGCTACGGGGAAAGAGGTCAGCACCCTGACTAGTCAGGTGTTGCGCGTCTTAGAAGCTCTCCGGGCGCACTGATGGGAAAGTGCTGGCCCGAGACACTGGCCTTCAGCGTGAGTCCGTCCAGAGAAGGGGCGCTCCCGGCGCCCCGGAAACGCCCGCGTGCACCAAGCAGGGGGCTCCGCACACCAGCTGCCCGCCGCCGCCCCTAGGGGGCGCTGCAGGTCGCGTGGCGGCGGGCGGGGTTCCGCGGGAGAGAAGCCGCGGTCCGGAGGAGGAGGAACCCGGAGAACTACGCAGGTCTGGTTGCCGTGCGTGCAGGGGGGCGGGCCGGGGATGGGCGACACCTCCGTGAAGCCCCGGGCGAGTCCTCGGGAAGGGGCTGACCGGGATGCCGCCCCTGCCCTCGCGGGTGAGGGGGTGCTGCTCCCTGGGCCGCTGGCGGCCGGTCCCCAGTCCCACCCCCCGCCGCCGCCGTCTGTCCGTCCACCAGGCCGGCCCTTCCGGGCGAGGACTGTGCCTCCAGCGCGTCGGCTGCCGGTGTCGGTCGTCTGTGTCCACGGCGCTGGGCTCACGCCGCAAAGGCAGGCCTGGTGTCCGTTCCCAGGTCTCCTCTTCAAAGATCAGCACGTGTTTACCTCTCCTCCTTCAAAATAAAAATACCCGCCGTCTCCAAGGGCGCGTCCCGGAGCGGGAAGGCGAGGAGCCAGCCAGCTCGCGACTCAGCTGGGAAACGCAGGGGCCCTCGAGCCGCACGGGTTGGGGGCGCCCACCCCTCCCCCGCCCCACGAAGCGGAAAATCCGCAGGTTAACCAGCGCCACCCCAATAAGTTCAATATAAAGGGGAAAAGAAAATCCCACGGGGGTCGTGACGCCAGCCGCGAGGCAGGGTGAAAAGCCGCCTCTATTTCTCCGCTGACCTACCTCCGACGTTAACCCCAGGAGGGGCCCTGCTGGACACCCGGTTGCCTGGGAGACCCACGCGCCTGCGCACATGCGGGGGCGTGGCCCTCAAGCCGGGTGGGAGGGGCGCAGGCGGCTGCGCCCGCCCCTTCCTCACTGCAGCCCGGCTCGGAGGCGTGGTCCTGGAAAAGTCGGTGGCCTTGGAAGACACGGAGGGCCTGGCCGGCCTGCCTTCCTGCCAGAAACCCCACTGTGCAGGGGGTGCAGGCTGGGCTCACGTGGGTCACAGAGAGGACGCCCCACATTGGCGGCATTTTCCTCCAAGGAGCCAGGCCCCTTCCCCAGGAACCCCTGGGTCGAAGGCCCAGGGCTTGAGAAAATATACAAAAGCTCTAGCTCCACCTCCTGCAAAACCAAAGGAGCCCCTGCCTGTTGTACTACCCATTGGAACAAAAGTGCTCCTAGGGATTCCGGGATCCTGGTTGTTTAGGGTTCCAGTTGTTTGCTTATTTCATTGTTTTTGTTTTGTTTAGGTTTGGTTTATAATAGTTGTGAGTTTGTTGTCATTTTACTGTTCATATTTTTTACCATCTTTTTTTTAGATAAGTCCCTTTAACATTTCATATAAGGGCCTGGTGATGATGAATTCCTTTAACTTGACCTTATCTGGGAAGCACTTTATCTTTTCTATTCTAAATGAAAGCTTTGCTGGATATAAGAATCTTGGATGTAGGTACTTGGAATACTTCTTTCCACCCGATCTTGCCTATAAGGTCTCTTTTGAAAAATCACTGACAGTCTGATGGGAACTCCTTTGTAGAGAGGAGTTCTTTTAAGACTCTCTTAAGATTCTCTCATCTTTCATCTTGACTAATGTAATTATGATGTGCCTTGGTGTGTGCTTCCTTCGTTCCACCTTCTTTGGGACTCTCTGAGCTTCCTGGATTTCCTGGAAGTCTATTTCCTTCACCAGATTGGGGAAGTTCTCCTTCATTATTTGTTTAAATAAGTTTTCCATTTCTTGCTCTTCTTCTTCTCTTTCTGGCACCCCTATGATTCAGATGTTGGAATGTTTAAAATTGTCCTGGAGGTTCCTTAGCCTCTCCTCATTTTGAGTTCTTGTTTCTTCATTCTGTTGTTTGGAAGTTTATTTCTGCTCCAAACTGTCAATTTGAGTCCCAGTTTCCTTCCCATTACTGTTGGTTCCTTGTGCATTTTCCTTTATTTCACTTTTCATAGCCTTCACTTTTTCCTTTATTTTTCGTACCATATTTAACTGATCCTGTGAGCAACCTGATTACCAGTGTTTTGAACTGTGCATCTGATAGGCTGGCTACCTCTTCATCGCTTAGTTGTATTTTTTCTGGAGCTTTACCTGTTTTTTCATTTGGGTCTTTTTTTTTTTTTTTTTTTTTTTTTTTGTCTTGGTGTGACTGTTATGTAGTAAGGGGCAGAGCCTTAAGTGTTCATCAGGGCGGGGCAACCCACGTGGCTGTGTTGTGACGCTGTATGTGGGGGAGGGTCCAAGAGAGAACAGTGCTGCTTGCTGCACTCTCTGCTAGTTTTCAGTCGCTTCCCCCACTTCCCACAAGCAAACTGGGCCCTTCTACCACTGATTCCCGGGTGGGTGGGTTTGGGTACATTCTAGGACCCTGTGGGTCTCTCCAATGGACTCTCCTATGAGGCTGGGAGTTTCTCCTGCTGCCTCAACCCCCACAGGTGTTTTCAGTCAGAGGTGTGAGGTTCTATTTCCCTGCTGGAGCCCTGGGTTTCAGGTCTGTCTCGCTCCCTGGTTGTTCCTCCTGGTTTGCCTGCACTTTCAAGTGTGACTCTGGGTGTGCCAGCTGCCGCCTCGCCACAAGTTCTCTCCACTCCGCCTGTCGGTCTGGGTGAGTGTTTCTTGGTTGTCAGACTTCCATACAGTTCCATTTTCTGGCAGTTCTGGTTGTCTGTCGTTTTTAAATTTGTTTTTTTGGTTGTGTGAGGAGGCACAGTGTGTCTACCTGCGCCCCCGTCTCGGCTGGAAATCTCACAAAGTCTTTATTGTTATGGCTGGCAGATGCTGCGTTCACTGTCAAGTATAAAGGCCATGCTCAGAGGGCACCAGCCTGCCCACAAGGACCCATTCAGGTCACACTGCTCACAACTGTGCCAGTGAGTCACTGGGAATTAGGGGCAGGGGAGCAGTCCCAGGGCTGCCCAGGGTAGGGGCAGGAAAACAGAACCCGGTTCCCAGAAGACCTTGTCTCAGAGGGCCGCGTGGGGCAGGTTTGGCTGTGGCATCTTTGGAAAGTGAGGTCTAGCACACCAGGCTTGAGAGCTCACAGGGTGACTCCAAACCGACGGCATCGCTCCGGAACTGGGAGAGACACTAACCAATGGTTGTTTCTAAGTGGCTGCATTTCCGGTGCATTGTTGCCCACAGTGACCGCCCGACTCGGTGGGTCAGGTATGTGCTGTCTCCAGACCGCGGGGCGGCGAACTGCACTCCTGAACGCTGCGGCTTCCCACCGTTGGTGTCTGTTCGTACCCTGGCGCCCCATTCCGTGGCCAGCTGAGTGGTTCTGCCCCCCACCCCCCACGTCTGCCTACTGAGGGGGCACCAGCTGGCAGGTGGGCCGGGGAATAGTGCGTCTGGCACAGCTGTCCCCCCTTGCCCTGCTGCCTCCCAGCTGGTCCCACAGAGGTGACCAGGAGGGGCCGTTGTCGGGCGGCTGGGTGGAGCTCTGAAAAGAACAAGCCCAAGTGCCCTGAGCCCTTGGCATCTGCTCCAAGCGGGCACAGGGGCACAGTGTCACTGCCTCCGTGTTCCTGTAGCCACAGCAGGTGGCAAGATCAGGCCTGCAGACTGAGGGGCAGCTGAAGCCGCTGAGCCTCTAGGTGGGGGGCGTGGCCGAATGCACCACAAGGGCCCGGACACCTGGAGGGACAAACCACAGGGGACCTGGTGCCGCAGGTCTCCCCGAGTACACAGAAACCTCGCCGCGTCACTGTCTACAGAAACGCAGTCCCTGTTCTTTTAACTCGGCCCTCGCCGGCCTCCCGCTTCCTGTCCCAGTCTTCCCAGTATTCCCAGTCCACCTACGCACACAGTGCTTTCCTTTCTTTTTTTTTGCTCTAAAGGTCAGGTTACACTGTAGGGATTCACTCCACAAAGCTCCCCAGCACCAGCAGCTGGGGAACAGGCAGTAACAAACACAAACTCCTTGGCGTCCAGCCTGAAGCAACTGCAGACAGAGAGTCGGCCACTCCAGGGTCGACAACTGGACTTCAGCAAGTGGTTTTGGTAAAAGCGGTTTTGTACAGATATGCAGGCATAAAGCAGATAAAAATGAACAAAAAGACCTTTTCTCTCAAGTACTTCTCAGTACAGCTATGGCTTAATGATACACATTTCAGAGTTGAAAACCCAGAAACTAAGAAATGTCTGCAGTTAAACCTGAGGCTCCTACATTCATTGTCCCAACACTGGAAATACTTTGATGTGTTGCTCTGACTGAAGGTTTGCCATTTAAAAGTTTTCCTATGAGAAAATGCAAGAAAAAGTATCCATCTAGATTGCCTCCCGGTCTCAACACTACTGAGGAGCAACCATCTTAAAACTGCTCGCCACGGACAAAACTCAGGGAGTCTTTTTGGAAGAGACTGAGCGTTAAACCAACAATTCCTTCCCGGAGCAGTGGGCTGAGGCACAGCTGCCCCGTCCCAACCCCACACGAGGCAGGCGGCTTCAGGAGGGACCGCGGGGGCGGGGGCAGACGCGGGTCTCTGCGGGCCGTGTGAACCCTGCTCTCGCGCTGCCTGGCACAGCCCTGAAAACAGGAGCACGCCCCGCTCCCGGGCGGTTACCAACTCAACTTCCCTGCGGAGGTGCAGTCCACCTCTGACGGCTCCAGCGTCGACCGCAAAAGGAAGGCTCCTGGGAGAACCCATTCGCAGGCCCCAAGTACGTCCATTTTACCATCAGGAGCGGCTCTCCGTGTCCCCTGAGAGCACACATCGGGCACTGCTGGCCCATCCACGGAGGCCCAGCGGTGCTTGTGGTCGCTGTGCCGGCCAGACATCACGCCCACACACGTCCCACTGCCCTGCGGTGACAACCACGGAGATCGATGGTCCAAGGTCAATGTCGGCGACCGCGGTGACCTCCACCGAAGGTAGCTGCTTTCTAATCTCCAGCAACAATGACTGAAGAAACATGTTTGGTTTAAAATACATTGTAATTAAATGTTATTTCCAACAGCTGACAGGATGAGATGCACGAGCAACATGTATTGATTGATCCCCGAACACACATGTACAGAAAATCACTGTCCGAGTTGCACCGGCGTAGCTCCCCGAGACCTCAGCATAAAAACACCTGCGTCCCCTGCAGCAGGACAGAAAACACGGGGTGCTCTGAAAACGCCCGTCATACCGACGCCCCTGGGCACTGCTGCTGCCGCTGCTCCAGGACCTGCTGGCTCAGCAGCTGCTGCTGCCTCTGCAGAAACTGCACCACTTCTGGGCTTCTCAGCAGGGACTGCAAGAGACGGAGTGGAAACACCTGTCAACAGCGCCACCCTACGGGTCGGACCGCCGTGGCAGCACTGCCGTGTGCGCCCCTACCCAAGGCACAGCGGCTCAGAACGCACGACTTGCCCCGACCAGATTCCTGTTTGCACCTGACACACTGCAACCCCTGAACTGGGAGCCCGTACGGAACTCGCTGTCGTCCGTCCAGACCTAGACACCTGACATCTGACAAGGCAGGTGAGGCAGGTCCTGTTGGTGACTTTGCACACCAAGCATAAATCCCTAGGACAGGCCGGCACACACCTCCCCTGTGAGCACGGAGCAAGGTGTGAGGGCCCGAGAGCACCAGCAGGAGACGGCAGGGAACAAGGGAATGGCCAGGCCGCGAGGGGGAGGGCAGCTGAACGCCCGGTGGAGATAATCCGAGCCCACTGCGTCTTTCTGAAGAAATGAGGGACTGCGTGTGTGCATTTACGTACAAGTATGTGTGTATTGATGGGAACGCTACCAAAATTTCAAAAAAGAAATACAATTGTTCTAAAATAACCAATACTTTTGTGCATGTTTCACTTTAAAATGGTTATAATCATAAACAAATAGAGTAGACAATGGCTATATTTTTTTAAATGAAATACATATAAAACTTCCCAAAGAAAAAAAACTTTGGCTCCAATACATTGACAAAGATAAAATGAATAAAGTAGAAATATTATGATTACTGATTTTAAAATTTAACATGATGGCAGAGTACATTTTCTATTCATTAATTTTATTTAATAGTTGTAAAGACCACCCAACTTTTAAAAAGTTATATTTTATTATGCTATTACAGTTGTCCTGATCCTTCCTTTGCCCCGCCCTCCACCCAGCACCCACCACTCCCTCAGGCCACCCCCCCCGCCACTGTTCAGGGCCCTGGGTCACGTGTGTAAGTTCTTTGGCTGCTGCCTGCCCTACACTGTCCTTACGTTCTGGTGGTTATACCGTAACTGTCTGTACTTCTCCACCGCCTCACCTCTTCTCCCATTTCCCACACATCCCCCTCCCACCTGCAACCCTCTCCGTATGCGTGATTCTGTGTCTGTTCTTCTTGTTTGCTTCATTTGTTTTTTAGGTTCAGTAGTTGATAGATTTGTATTTTTTAGTTTTATCACTCATAGTTTTGATCTTTTTCTTAAGTAAGTCCCTTTAACATTTCATATGGTACTGTTTTGGTGATGATGAACTACTTTATTAGCTTTTTTTTTTGGTCTGGGAAGCTCTTTATCTGTCCTTTGATGCTAAATGATAGCTTTGCTAGATAGAGTAATCTTGGTTGCAGGTCCTTGCGTTTCATTACTTTTCCTATTTCTTGCCAGTTCCTTCTGGCCTGAAAAGTTTCTGCTGAGAAATCCGCTGACAGTGTTATGGGAATGTCTTTGCAGGTGATTCTCTTGCTTTTCTCTTACTGCTTTGAAGATTCTCTCTTTGTCTTTAACCTTTGGCACTTTAATTACGATGCATCTTGGTGTGGTCCTCTGGGTCCATCTTGTTCGGGACTCTCTGTGCTTCCTGGACTTACATATCTATGTCCTTCACCAGGTTAGGGAAGTTGTCTCTCGTTATTTCTTCACATAGATTTCCAATTCCTTGCGCTCTCTCTCTCTTCTCCTTCTGCCCCCCCCCCCCCCCATGATGCACAGGTTGAGCCTCTTCTGTGTTGCCACCTTGCCGGGAGTCCTCTCCGCCCAGCTGCCCGGCCCCGCCCTACCTGCCGGTCTGGATGAGTGTTTCTTCTGTAACTCCTTGGCTGTCGGACTTCCCTACAGCTCAATTTTCTGGCAGTTCTGGTTGTTTTTTGTTTTTAAATTTGTTTCTGTCCTTCCTTTGGTTGTTCGAGGAGGCACAGTGTGGCTACCTACACCCCTGTCTTGTTCAGAAGATAGCACAACTTTGTTAATAGGTTTGTAACTACTTTACAGACACTCACCAGTCTTTTTTGATTTAACACTTGTTCCAAAAGTGTCGGTCTTGCAGGTCGGTCCCCAAAAGCTCCCGTTCGTTTGACAATGGAGAGTATGTTGTCTGCACTTTCCTGGGGAAAAGGATAAAAACGCAAACAGGGTTAACACCCAACACAATGACTGGAGACCACAGTCTCCGGTGATGAAGGGGACAGGTCTCAACTCTTTGCCCAGAACCCAAGGGGCTGTGGGAAAGCCCCCGATTAGATCTAAGCGGACAGCTAGATCAGGAGTGGAGCCACAGAAATGGAGATCACATGGAGGGTTAGCAACAGGGGAGTGGGAGGAGGAGAAAGGGAGAGAAGGTACAGAGAAAAAGCATAGACGGTGGGGAGAAAATAGACGGGGAAGGGCGAGAACAATATGAGAAATGTAGAAGCTAAAGAACTTGTGACACATGGACATGAACTAAAGGAGGGAAATGTGGGTGGGAGGGAGTGTGCAGAGTGGGGGGGGATGGGACAACTATAAGGCATAATCAATAAAAATATTATATATATATATATATGTAAAAAAGACCTGCAGTTCTTCAAATCACCTCAGCCGGTAAAGTGACCATCAGCCGGTAACAGTGCACTGTACCAAAGTAACAATGTACAGTGCACTATTATTTCTGGCTTGTAGCAATCAATTTTCTTCCCTAAATTATTGTGCAAATTCTTTCACAGCAGGAATGTTACTATGGTTCTTTTTGTGGGTAGTGAAGGAGAGACTGCAATTTGGTGTTGATTACCCTTTTGTACCTTTCCCTCAATTGCTTCTCTGTAACAACCTCGAAGAATAGCACCACTGACAACAGAAATGACAGCGCAGGCTCACCCGCCACCTGCCGGACACCGTGAACCTCGCCTACCCCGGCCGGCACACTGCGACCTAGGTCCTATTCTAACACCCCTTTTGCAGGGAAGAAGGTGAAGCTTGAAGGGGTTCAATCACCTATCTGAGGGCACAGAGCCAGCCACGGGCAGAAGTCCCGAGTCCCAAGAAGCGGCTTTAACTGTCCGCAGAGTTGTCCCAACAACGCAAACGTCGTCCGAGGTTTACCCCCCCCCCCATTATTACTCGGTTCTTTTTCTCCAGGGCAGGACGAAACACGCAGTGAGTGCAGGGGACTCAGCAGGGGTTTGCAGAGGACAGGACAGGACGTGTAGAGAGACACTGGGACCAAGGGAATAGGAACTGTGACCCTCAAAACGGGACGCTGAGAACAGGCGAAAAGAGTACGCAATGACCCCGCGCCAAGTCCCCAGTATGTCGGGGCTCCGCACTCTCCGCGCCAGCGCCGTGAGGGAGGGACCGCTGGGCCATTTACCCTCGTCCTTGCAGCCCCCTTTCGGATCTCTGCTGTGCCGCTATTCTGATGCGCACCCTCGCTGTCAGGGAAATGTATTCCTCCAGCACAAGGATTCAACAGGAGTGCTAAGGTTTTGCCCGTGTTTGCATGAACCTGAATTGGAGGCCAGCCCCTCCTAACTCGGGGCCTCCCGTCCAGCCACAGCCGCCCGGCCCCCCTGCTGCTCCGAGACCCCCGCTCGGCTGGGATACCTCGGGTTTGGCGGCACCCGCACTGCCGGCAGGGGCAGCGCCCGCGCAGTGGAGGGCCTGGTCGCTTTTCTTCTTCTTGTACTTGTCTTTGTACATCTTGTTGCGGTGCTTCTTGCACATCCACGGCTTGCGCTGCTTGGCCACCTGGCTCGTGGTCTCGCTGCAGCCCTCGTAGGTGCAGGTCTTGCTCACGCCGGCCGCGCCACCACCTCGCCTGCGCGTGGCCCTGCCTCCGTCCTCGCCCCCAGAGTGCGCCTCCTCATCCTCCAGGTCCTCCAGGCTGGCCGCGCTCTCGCCGCCCCCCGGCGGGTCGGAGGTGTCCAGCAGGTCGGCCTCGTCCTCCCCGGCCTCATCCTCCGCGTCCCCCGCCGTGTCGCACAGGTACCCCACGGACCCACCTGCCAGGGCGGCGCCCCCAACGCCTGGTGCCGACCCCAGGACGCCCTCGGCAGAGCAGTCGTCCTGCGCGCTGCAGGGGCGCATCACCAGCAGGGTGACCTGCGGGGCCGCGCCCGGGGCCGGCGCTGGGGCACCCGGCCCCGCGCTGAAGCCCTGCACCTCCGTGATGCTGAGACCTGGCGCGGGGTCCATGACCCCAACCTTTCAGTGGTCTCCGGGCCCAAGGGAACCTCGCAAACCAGACTCCAGACCCGCCGAAAGAAAACGGGCGGCTCCGAGAAGGCTGCCGAACTGCGCCTGCGCAGCCGGCGAATCCCGCGTTAGCGTTTGTACGCAAGTGCTGTCCCTAGAACCGCCTCTCTGAGGGGCGGGGCTGAGCGTCCACCGCCTGGAGCGACTGCGCAAGCGTAGGGGGGGGAGGGAGGGAGCAGTTCCCGGTGGCTAGGGCCCGTGCACCAGGATGGTGGCGCTGGACGGGACAACACATGTTTTTGTGTTTTGAAGGAACCTGCTCTGTCTAAGGTTACAAAGCACTTTTGTAGCGGAAATACACTATGCATCAATGACCTTTTACACAGAACTAGAGCAAAAAATCCAAAAATTAGAGGGAATCACTAAAGACCCTGAATAGACACAGCAATCTGGAAAAGCAGTAACAAAGTTGGAGGTAACGTGCTACCTGATATCAAACCACACTGCAAAGCTATATCATTAAGACAGCATGGCACTGACATAAAAACAGACATACACATAAATGGGACAGAATAGACAGCCCGCATGCTTATATGGTCAATAAACATTTGACAGAGTTGGCAAGAATGTATAATTGGGTAAAGACAGTCTAAGTCCATAAAATATGTTGGGATTAATGGACAGATACATGAAAAAAAGTGAAATGACCACCTTCTTATACCATATACAAGAATAAACTCAAAATGGATGAAAGACTTAAATGCAGGTATTGAAACTTGAAATCTCCTACGAGAAAACAAAAGCAGTAAAATATCAGACATTTCTCTTAGCACTATTTTTCTGATAGATCTCAGCAAGCAGAGGAAAGAAAACAAACACGTGGGACTACATCAGATTAAAATTACTTGCACAGCCTATTAAACTATCAGCACAATGAAAAGACAGCCTGCTGAGTGGGAGAACATATTTGCTAGTGATACATCTGATAAAGGGTTAATATTCAAAATGTAAAGAGAATTTGTACTACTCAACACACACACACACACACACACACACACACACACACACACACACACCCAGTCCAGTTTTAAAAATGGGCAAAGGCCCCGAGAAGACGCTTCCCCAAAGAGGACATACAGATGGACAACAGACATATGAAAAGGTGCTGAACATCACTAACCATCAGAGAGATGCAAATTAAAGCCACAAGGAGGTATCACCTCACACCTGTCAGAAGGTCCATCATCAGTAAATCGACAGACAGCAATACTGGGAGAAAAGGGGACCCTTGTGCACCGTGGGTGGGAATGCAGACGGGGGCAGCCCCTGTGGAAAGCAGTGTGGAGACGCCTCAAAAACTTAAAAATGGAGCTGCCTTATGACCCAGTGATTCCAGTTCTGGGAATGTATCTGAAGAAACCTGAAACTGCAATGTAAAAGAACATAGTGTGTTAAATGAAATACGTCTGTGAGAGAAAGACAAATACTATATAATTTCACTTACATGTGGAATCTAATGAGCAAAAAAGCCCAAACAAATAAAATAGAAACAAGCTGATTGATACAGAGAAGAAACTAGACACAAACTGCCAGAGGAGGGGGTGTGGGGGCTGGGTGAAGAAGATGACGGGACTAAGAAAAATAACAAAACCTCGCAGACACAGACAACAGTACGGTGATGACCAGAGGGAACGGGGTGGGGGAGGTGGAAGCGGGTTGAATGGGAGTGAACGGTGGCGGACGGAGACTTGATTTGGGGTGAGGAACATGTGATACAATATACAGATGACGCATTGTAGAACCGTGCACTTGAAACCTATGTCATTTTATTAACCAGTGTCACCCCAGTAAATTCCATAATAAAGATTTCGGTCGAGGGGGTGTGTGTGCACAGAGACCAGACTGCTGTCAGCTGGGGCACAAACGGAAGCAGAGAAGTAGAGGCGACTCCTTCAGAAAGTCCAGATGACAAGGGGAGGGGAGAGAAAGCCTCTCTGGACAATGACAACCTCAGTCACTTCCCCACAAGTGCCCTGCCTGGACCCTTGGCCTCCCTCCCCTCCTGAGCCCAGTCCCAAGGTCCTGACATCCCTGCCAGGCCCAGGGCTAGGACCAGGGTGTCCCACCCAGAGAATGGCAGAGTGCGTGACAATGAAATGCGCAGCTTTCAAAATGCTACTCTTCGTCCGTGACGACCTCTTTTGGCAGAATGTTTGTGTCAGATGAGAGATGCTGAAGGACGAGTGGAATCAAGATTAGGGTAAAACGTTACTATATTTCAGTTACAGTTCGAAATGGAGATAATACTAGAGCGAGGAAAAGACAATCCATCACTAACAAATCTGTTCAGTGTGCATGTCTTTATATCAGATAGTGAGCTCTTTAGAACTTTCTCACGGCAGTGGAACTGAACATCGTCTCCTAGGGAGATACTTGGTGAGAATGGACTGTGAGTGTCTCCAGGACCTTGGCTTTGTTGAGATTACCAGTCAGGCAGTTGCTGGAAGGAGCCCAGGGTGCAGAAGAACAGGCCGCCAGCATCAGAACAAGCTGATTCTGAGCCCCCAGTGGACAAGCCCCCAAGCCAGAGGCTGCGTGTTCCTGGGAAACACTGAGGAAGCCAGTAGGGTCCTTTGGGGTGAGCGAAGGGTGGCATCAGAGGGAAGGGGGGGGCGGGCTGGAACACGTTTTCACAAGCTGCAGGGAACCCAAGGAGGAGGCAGCAAAACCTCTAAAGGGGGCAAAGAATTCAGGCAGAACCGTGGCTTTTGTCCAGCCCTGTAAACAGTGTGGGGCAGACTGTCTTCGGGATTATTGAAGCAAAGAGGACACGCGAGCTGGAAGCACTTTGCCGTTTCCCTGAAACAGCTGAACGAGAGCTGCAATAGCTGAGGCAGAAAGGAAAGTTTGAAGTCTCGAAGGTGCCAGGTTTGCTGAACTGAATTAAGCTCAGCAGTCTCTCCGTGGGGGGCCCGCCCTGCTGCATGGAACCACCTCTGGATTCAAAACCCCCGTGGTTCAGGCTGTGGCTGCACATCCTCCGGTCCGACTTCTTTTCTCTCCCTCTGTGAAGCAAAAGAAGCTTTGCTGTAGCTTCCGTGATGAAGGGACGCGTGGACAGACCCTGAGAAGGCCTCGGATCCTGGCCGTTTCTGTCGATTTTTGTAGATGGTGCGTGAGTCACCATGGGTCAGTCCTCACAGGTCCGAGGGCTGCCATGCTGTCCGTCTCCTCAGTGCAGTGGGGATTTGCTCCCGCACGGCCGGTCTGTCCTCCACTCCCTCGTTCCCTCTGCAAGGGTCACCAAGCCATTCTGGTGCCGAGAGCTGGGAAAAAGTAAAACTTTAAAGTTTGCAAGCACTTTCACGTATATCATTGTTCTAACTTCGAAATAAACTCACGAAGCCCTTGATCACACCCTGCAAACAAGCACTCAGCAGCCTTCACCAGAGAGGGGACACCGCCCGGTCCTGGTGCAGTGCACGCTGGTGCAAGTCCTGGCTGGCTGGGACCGCCTCCCCTGTCACATCTGCCATAAGCTGGCCCCGACTCCTCAGAAGTGGAGGTGCCTGGGGTCGGGTAGAGAGGAGCGAGCTTCTCATGCAGGCCCACTTGGTCCTTGATTTTGGATTTCGGCTTCCCTCTCTCGACCCCCGAGGGCACCAGGTCACAGGCTCTGATCAGCTAGCAGGACAGCGGGAAGGAAGATGCTGTGCCTGGAGAAGGGCGCTGAGACGGTTCGGAGGGTGGTCCTGAGCCCACCTGCCTTCCAGCCTGTGCACTGGGCAGTGCTGAGGCAGATGCACTCAGCCCCTGGGACCTCCATACCTTTGGACTTGTTGTTGCTACGGCAACGCCCTCTCGGACGCCTGTCCACAGCAGCCGATTCCCACAGCTTCCACCTGGGCAGAGGCTTCCGCCTCCCTGTGTCCGCTGCACCCTGCACTTTCACCCCGCAGGGGTGGCCACCCGTCTGGCGTCTCTGGGCCACACAGTAAATACACTGACACATAATCACAAAAAGTCCCATCATGTTTTAAGTAAATTTATGATTTTGTGTCGGGCCACCGGCTGGACACCCCTGCGAGAGCTAATTTCCCAGCGGGTGAGCTCTGATGGCCGTCGGCTCTCACTGCTGGCCAGTTGGCCGAGGCTGGGTCAGGCCGACAGCCCCACGTGGGCTCCGTGGACAATATGGGAGTCGGAGGACGGGGACCGAGAAGGGCTGAGAGACAAGGCACAGTGGGGACAGGCAAGGAGAGGAGGTGGGGGCGCTTCTGGACAGAGTGTGGGTGTGTGAGGCAGAGAGGGGAGGGGAGGGAGGGAGGGGCCGGGGAGGGAGGGGGGGGGGGGGAGCGAGTGGGGGAGGCGGCGCCCTGTGGTTGCACTCACGTCTAAGCTCGCTGCCCCCACGCCGGCAGGAAAACGGCTATTTGTATGGGGAAGAATGACTCTCCATCCACCCTCTCACCCACCCAGGGTGGATCTGAATAGGACGTTTTTCCCACCTCTGGTCTCTTTTCCACAAAGCTGCTGGAGTGATCTTCCTTAAACATCAATTCAACGATTTAACTTCTCTGCCTAAAATCCTCCAGCAGATTCGCTGCACCAAACTCCGACTCAAGCCGACCAGGCCCTGCCTACCCTTCCCCTGCCACCTGCCCGGCTTCACCTGCGCCCCCAGAGCCCTCCGTGCTCTGACCCCTCGGCTCACACAGCTGAGGCCCGCCTGCCGCAGGGCCTTTGCACACTCCCTTTCCCAGTGTGCTTCAACACTCACGCCTGCTTGTGGAAGGAAGGCCCTCCTCAACCGTCACGCCTTTAGCGAGTTGGCCTGGTCGCCTCTCACTTCACCACATTAGTCTGCAAAGTGTGCACCTGTGACACGCGGATTATTTGTTCAGTCGTTTTTATGGGAGTTTTTCTCTTCTCTGGGTCATAAGCGCTGGGAGGGAGGAGCCACACCTGTCTGCTACGTTGTGTATTTCCTGAGGGCCTGGTGATCCCAGCGTCTCCCCATGGGTGTCAGGGTGGCACCCGTCCCACCTAGGTGTGCACCCGGCCTGGCTGGGAGGAAAGCAGCTGGTCCCGCCACAGGGGAGGACGTCTCCGGGCAGTGGATGGGACCGCCCCAGGAGGTAAGGAGGGTGCAGCTGGGACTGGCCCCTCACTCTGTGCAGACCTCTGAGCCTGGTATCCAAGGGGCAGGGCCCCCAGGGAGCCAGCACGCTGTGCTCGCCCAGAGGGGCCAGGGTTCCAGGGCCCAGGGCACTTGGAGAGCAGAGGTCTTTGAATACTGGGGATCTTTCTTTGTTCTTGTCTTGCATTTGCTGTTCCTCTGGCTGTTCTTGTGACAGAGTGTGTGCATCTGAGCGTGTGCGTGAGTGCACGTGGGGTTGTGAGAGCCCTGCCCCTGGGATAACCGGGACAAAGTGAGCGGAACACACTCGTCCTCTCATGAAGGGGGGACACTCTGGAGACCACAGGTCCCCAGAGGCCCAGGGCTGCCCTTGGACTCGCTCACCTGCCCCCCACCTCCCGCCCCCATTCACCCGTCACACGCACCCTTGGGCCTTCTGTCCTCAGGGGCCCAGGCCCCGGGAGACGAGGCCCTGGAGGCCTGGGTCCTGTGTGTGGTCCCCACTGGGACAGATGCCACAGGACTTTCTAGAAGAAAGCAGGACCTGGCATTGCTTTGAAGGGCAAGTCTCTCGGATGGGGAGAGGCTAGAGATGGTGGTCCCCTCCAGCCAGGCTGCAGTTCCCCTTCGGTTGTGGGAACGGGCGTGTTAATACACAGGGGAGACTGTTTAGTCTCCCTCGATCAAACCATGTGGCAGCCCCACCCTCTGACCTCCTCTTGATCTCCTGAGCGTGGCGCTGCGGGGGCTGGAGGCACACGACCTTCCTCCCCGCCCTTGTCCCCAGAGCCCGTGGCAATGGCAGGCAGGGCCTGGAGCCCAGACCCCAGCAGGCAGTCCGCTGGCTTGGTGTGCAGAGGGACAGGTGGCCTGGGCAGTGGACAGAGGGAGACCTCCTGTCCACCACAGACACACCTGAGAGGCCCATGTGGCCCCTGCCCTGCCACGGCATGTCCCACGGACCTGGAGCGTCCTTGTAAAACACACGGGCTCTCTGTGGCCCGGGACCCGGGTCTTTCCCAAGCCTGCGGTCCCTCTCCAGATCAGGGAAGGGTGGGACTCACTGCCCCAGAAGGTGATGACTCGTCCGGGGGGAGGGATGGTGGTGGCAGAGGCTGCCTTTGGGCCACACGATGCCGACTCTGCTTTAAGAGGACAGACAGACAGGGAGTGACGGAGAAGCCTCCTCAGGGGAGAAGGCTGTGGACCCGCCGCAGTAAAAACAGCGAGAGGCGGAGCAGGAGTTCGATAAGCCCAACTTCTTTATTCGTGACCCAGTCTCCCCACTTTCTGACGCAACACACACTCACCTGCGCTCTGTTACCCCAGCAAGCCCCAAACCACAGGCCCTCGCTGACCTCTCCGACTGTGGCCCCCAATCTCTCTGCTTAAACTTGAGTTTAAAAGTAATTCTATTGTCAGAAACCTTGATGTCAATTCCAGAGTGAAGTTAGCCCTCAGAACTGATCGTACTCTGATTGTGCTGTCCTGTGGCAAGCTTGTCCCTTTATCTTTAAAAAGCACTTCATCTCGGGCCGTTCTTCCCCGGTGACCAGAACAGCACAAGATCGATCAAAGAGCAGAAGTGATCCCATGGATGCCTCTGCGACCCTGCGTGGCTGTCACCTGGCTTCTAGTGGGGAGTGAGGGACGTGGGCTCCTGTTCTGAGAAGGTGCTGCACCTGCGGGTGCCGACAGCACGGATGGTGACCCCCCCGCCCGGGGACCCCCAGTCCGGCATTGGGTGGCGCTCCAACACCTTCAAATGGCCGAACGGGCATACTCTGCCCACTTTAGGGCGGCGACTGTCCGTGGGGCCCACGGTGTGGGGGGCCTTTCTGGGGCAGGAATAGCTGCACGTGGCCTGTCTGCAGTGGAGCCGAGGGTTAAGGAAGAGAAACCCAATCTCCATCACCGTCCTCGCTCCAGAACGACGAGCACATGCCAGGGAAGCACTGCATCCTCGATCCCTTCCCAGGCGCTGGGTCGTGTGGCTGCACCGTCGATCCACGAGGTCTGTCGTGGTGACACCTCTTGAGACCGGCAAACAGTCCAAACAGGAGCGATCCTCCGGCTGTCTGGGGAAGACAGGCCTCACGGGGGCGGGCAGTGGGCTCCGCAGGCTGGACGAGCTGCGCGTTTTCACTGTGGGCCATTTCCTTTTAAAATTGAATTGAACTGCTCAATCTGGAGAAGCTGCCATTTGTTTGCTTTGCTTTTCGGGGCAGCTTGGTCCCTCCACCTTCCTTGTCTGCGCCCTCGAGCTCGCCCAGGTTCAAGGACAAGCCCTGCGCTCGGACCCGCGGGGCTGCCTGCAGCGTGGGGGGGGGGGAGCTGGGGCCCTCAGTGTCCAGCGGTGGCCGTGCAGCTTGGGTCTCTGTGACGTTTACCGCACACCCACCTCCTGGAACCCCACAGCGGAGCATCTCGCCAGCACACAGCTGATCCCCAGAGACACGTGACAGTTGCGGGGTGTCCACAATGCCAGGTGCGCTGGTGATGTCATGGCTGGGCTTAGTCCCCTGATGAGAATGAACCACCACCCAACACCTTGGAGCCGTCGTGTGACTCTGCGCTGAAAGGACACAGACTAGGAAGCTGGGTGCAGGGGCGCACGTCACTGCCGGGAGTTATTACTGCGTAAAAGCGCCGCCCAGTGACCGTCGTCCACAGGCTTAGCTCCTGCTGACCGGTGGCCCAGGTTTGAAATTGCAGCTTCTTGGTTTGGCTCTTGGTGCCTGTCTCAGCGGTGGGGGCAGCAGTTTCGGGAAGAGCCCAGGCTGCGCAGCGTTGGGGCTGTAAGGGAAGGGACAACCAGAAGGGGGGATGCGCTCGGACATCACGGACCGCACCGTGGCCCATGGCCTGGCGGCGAGAGCCCAGCTCCTCCGAAAACCTTCCCAGCACGACCTCCTCCGCCGGTGAATGCCATTCTCACCTGCTACCGTGACATTCACAAGAACATTCAGCGGAGCTTTGCCTCCAGTTTTAGAAACGTGATGCATGAAATCTACACTGATTTTTTAAAAAAACATTTGGTGTTTTTTCCTTTACTTCTTAAATATGGAAACTATCTTGTCATTAATTCGGGCTCCACTGTGTCTGGTCCTGCGGGCTCAGTGGACTTCCTAGTCGTGTATGAGAACGAAAGGCAGGTCCCACACCCACCACCCCGCGAGGCCCCCCGGGGGACTTCCGCGTCAGGTGTCCAGCAGAGGGGCATGAACTTGACCTCCCAGAAGCGCACTCAGGATCCATCTGGGGCTTTGTGTGGGACTCTATCCCTCAGTGGCTTGCGCCCATGTGTCAGCCTTAGTGTCTCCAATCACAAAGGACAGGGATTGTGAGTGGGGACAGGAGTGGGGGGAGGAGCAGAAACAGATCTGCCTGGTTGACAAGAAAGGGTCCTTTCTGTCCTGAGGCGACCCCCCCCATCAGGGACAACCGTGACTGGGCCGTGCGTGCTGGTCAGGAGGAGAGGTTGGAGAACGTGGACCTCTGGGAGGAGATGCTGCAGACCTCCAGGTTGGCGAGGGAGCTGCCGGCGTCGCTGGGGCACTCGGGGCGGGAGGAGCCGGAGGAGATGGCGTTCTTGAGCCTCTGGAGGGCGACGACCAGGAGCAGGAGCAGAAAGGCTAAGAGGCTGAGGAACATGGACACGTAGACATAGACACTGGACAGGCGGCCGGGCGTCGGGTCCACCGAGGTGGACAGGGACGTGGGGAAGAGCTGGAGGAACGTCCCGTTGTCCGCGCTGCCCGGGAACACAGAGGAAGGGGCCGCGCCGGACATCCTGCGGCAGGGCTCACGCGGGGGTCGCAGGGGACAGAAGCGGTGGCATTGTTCTCCCGATGGCTGCGGCCGAAACGTGGGGCAGCTGAGTCAGCACGACAGCGTCGTCTTGGTTTTCCGATGGAGGCTGCGGGGATCAGGCGTCCGCCGACCCTGGGAAAAAAAACAAAAGCCCACAGGTCTGCATGTGTTATTCAGAAAATGCCACATCCAAACCCCACTGTCAGTCTTCCCGTCAGGAAGGCTTCACTGTGACACCTCGGGGCGGGGGGGGCAGCTTGTGTCTTCACAGCACCCATGTGCTGCCAACATGAGCTTCTATTTGGTCTCCGCGGTTCCTCGAGGCACTGAGGATAAAATGACACTTCTTCTTTCCGTGTATTTTTTCACGTTTTTTAGTTGTCGTTCAAGTGCCGTCGTCTCTCGTTCTCCTCCACGGTAAAATGCATTTCTGATGTGTGCCCCCCAGTACGATGCTCCGGGCGGACGCTCCGAGAAGGGGACCCGAGAGGTGAGCAGCAAACCGCCCCCGGCAGGGAGCTAGCTGTGCTCACTGCACAGCACCCGCCCAGCCCAGACCAGAGTTCCCTCCCGCCCGACGTGGAGCACCACCCCGTGAACACCTGGAATTCGCCGCTCTGTTCATAAAACCTCAACCCCAGGGACCGTTTGCACCGCCTCCTTTCCTCCGGCTCTGCCTACACATTCGGTGCTGCGATGCGCAGGAAGCTGGATCAACTCGGAGCAAAGGTCGGCTTTCCTCTGAATGTCGGAAAGAGGGCGAGGTTGCTCTCCACTCTCGAAGTTTTGGCCTGAATTCTTCATTTGGGGAACCTGGGCAAACCGCCTGCATTTTCTGGGCTTTTTTTTCTTCTCCTCTGTAAACTGTGGCCCCGGCCCCACCTCCTGCCCGGGATGCGGGGCCGAGATCATAGACGTGGAAGCACTTTGTGAATCGTGAAGGGTGGGGCCAAACTGAGTGTGTTCCTCGGCTGTCGGGTGTGAGAAGGGCGATTCTGTCCCCGCCGGCAGCAAGGGAACACTCTCGACCACCCCTGCCTCCTCACCTGGTCCCGGCAGGACCCCCAGGAGCAGAGTGGGGCTGAGACGGGTCCCCAGGCTCCAGGCGTGGGTGCAGCATGTCCCAGATGCCCTCGCCTCTGTGACTGGAGGTCACCCTTGGTTTCTGATGGGCCCACTAGCTCCCTCCGTCCATCTGGGGGGCCCAGGACACAGCCTGGGGCAGGAGGTGGGTCGCCATAATACGACTCTCTTTCTTCTAAGGATGGAAAAGCTGCCTTCCTGGCTCCTCACGGCAGCCGATGGTTGCGATGCAAATCTCGAAATCTCTTCGCGTGAGATGCAGAGAAATGCTTTTGTGCCAACCTCCCTGCTGCCTGGGTTTCCCTTTTTCTAGACTCCGCCCTGCCTTGCGCCTCAGAAACCCGCCTTTCCCTTCTGCTCTCCAAGTCTCACGGGGCGGCTGGTTAGTTGAGGGCCCGACGCTGGCCTCCGGCCTGAGCAGAGCGGCACCCATGATCCCTGGGGAAAAGGGACACTTCTGCGAGGGCCGTCCCTCTATGGTGACACCCAGGCTGACGGTTTCACTGAGCTCCTCTGAGTGGTGTCTCGGTGTGTAGCTCCTAAAGTAAGTTGACTCCTACTCATTTGGCTTTGCCTGGTGATTTTAATTTAATTAGGCTGCTCCGGTTCCTAACAATCCCTAAATAAGAGACGATCGCGCCGCAAATGTGTTACACGGATTTGGCAATATCTTGCCTTTTACAGCACGTACACATTCATCTTCACGGAAAACAGGAGTCTCAGAGGCAGCGTGATGTGTGGGGAGGGAAACCGGGGGACAAAGCTCCCGGCTGAATCGGAAGACAGGACTCGGGAGAAACAAAGAGGCTCGTTGATTTGACGAGGTAGCATCTAATCAGAAGCTACGCCAGGACGCTGGGCTTCTGCACCCCCTCAGCCTCGTCCCATCTGGTCTCAATTGTCCTGTTGTTGGGGAGCAGGGCTTCCAGAGTCTCTCTTTCTAGCGTGGGCGAAGAAAAAGGCAGGAATGATGCACTTGGCGCGTCCCCCGCCGACCGCTCGGTGAGGCGGGCAGAGTGGGGTTGCGGCTCCCCCTGGGCCGGGCAGGGAGCTGGGCCGAGAAGCCTGGGCGAGTGGCTTGGCGTCCACCGCGGGGCAGGGGCTGAGAAGTGGCTGGAGCCCATGCCGGTACCGTGTCCTTGGTTCTGGCAAGAAGAGAAAAAGACTCGGGGGACGAGTTCCTACCTGTCGCTCCCCCAGGACAGGCTCACAGCTCTGTCTCGACATTTCTGATTTCTCCTTGGGACAATGATACTCGTATTTCCTCCCCTTCCAGGAGGTTCACGGTTGAGATGTGGCCACTTGTCCATAATCTTCCTTAGCAAAGTGTTGGGGGGCAGCCCCCAAGGGAGGTCCTGGTGGCAGTTCTTTCCGACTGCCCACCCGGGAAGACCAGAGGGACAACCAAGTCTCGGCCGGTCCCACGGCCCTGACACGGGCAGCTGACATTCAGCTGCAGTGGCCGAGTTTGCTAAAAGCCCCGCTCCGCCCCCAAGCCTGTGTCCTGTCCTGGGGGTGGGCTGTGGGTGCAGACACTGGAGTATCAGCACTTCGGTGACAGCCCACAGCTGGTGACCGACTGGACTGCAGGTCACAGCACAGGCATCTCTGCACACGGCACACATTCCAAACACACACCCTGGAGATGTGACAAGAGGCCCACTGTGCGCCAGTGGCGGTGGGATGTCACAGGGGAAAGTGTCTGTCCTGGGAGGACGGTAGAAGCGACCTTGTGTGCGGGTCTGACCCTCAGTGATGCCCTGTCTCCTTCAGCTTTAAATCCCCCTGCAGTGTTTCAGGCCTAACAGTACTTCCCGAACACCTCTCGACTTACTGTGACACATACGCGTGTCTCATTTCGCTGTCCGGCTCCCAACGGCACGGTATACACGCCCCGTTAGAGATCATTTCGGGCTGACGACATTCTCACCGGGCGGAACAGCCCAGGCCGGCCTCAGCTCTGTCCCAGCCACGTCCCAGGCTGCGACCTGCGTTCACACGCATGTCCACGTGAAGGACGACTGTTCGAAAGGCTCTTTGGTTGTAGGAAACCGGGACGAGCTGCTTTGCCCATCGCAGACGCCACACGAGGGCGCCCTGGCCGTCGTCGGCCCTTTATCCCCCCACCCTGCCGGGCCGTTGTCCAGAGGGGTCCTCCGCGGCCATGGTAACGATTTCATGACGTCGTCCCCGGACGCAGTGGGATGTTCCCTTCCACTTGACAGGTGTCAACTTCGATGCGGTAATGTGTAGTTCGAGGTGACAGATTGGTTCTCTCTGTGGACACACAGAGACCACTGTTTTCAGAACCTAGAAGGGTCCCTGTCACAACTGAGCAAAGCTGTTTCGGTCCCAGTGGGACGTTGGTCCTCGCATGACTGAGTGAGGGGTGGTCAGCCAGCTCTGGGACAAGCCGCCCACGGACAGAAGGGCTCAGGTGTTCAACAAAACTCGGGTCTCAACTCTCCACCGACAACCCTGCCGTGGGATTTTGTTTCCCATAAATTGCTTCTCCAACGGTTTTCTGAAATGAATGGACTCCGAGAACGGCAGTTCCACTGCACTTAGAAAACGGCACGTTTTGTGTGAGGTGTTGCCGTCCCCCCCCCCCCGCGTCCGCACGCTTCCTCCCCTCTCTGCGCTTTCTCCTTGCCTGTGGCCCTTTAGGTCATGCAGGTGACAGAAGGTCGGTGCCAATCATACGTACTTCCCGCGCCCTCTTCTCTAAATGAAAGTCTTCACCTGCAAACTCTTACCTGCAGCCTTGCAATAGTAACAGCCGAGTTAAGTATCTTCCATTTATGCAGAGCTGATTCAGCCGTCCATATACTTGCCTACTGGAGAACCGCTCTTACTTATCAGAACAGTTCTTTAGAGAGTAGGATTTTGTATGAAATGAGAACAATCTCGTTATGATCCTTTGTATCAGCCCCATAAAAAAACAAAACCAGTTAAGGAAATACCCTGAGTCCATCTGCTGTCAAATACTGAACCAGAGAGAAATGGGGAAGATGGAGATTCTGAATAATGCCCCGGAATTCATGGGCCTGGGCTGCATGATGAAGGGCCGAAAAGTGACAGTAAGAGCCCACTCTACCCACTGCTCAAATGAATGGTCAGAAAATACAGTCTGCGCTTTTTCACAGAACAGTGGTGGAAATTAAAGAAAGGGCTAAGTGATCGCCTGGGCTCTGTGCGTTATTCTGGAACCCGCCTCTGGGACGTTCAGGAGGTGGTTTGGATCCCGGCCAGCCTCCTCCGCCTCTGGCTTTCCCTGACGACTCCATCTGCGAGCCAGCCACAGGCCCACAAAGATACTCCCTCAGCACAATGGTTACATGTTAGGTAATAATCCAATCGAGTACACAGATTATTTTGTTCTAACTCTTTAAAAATTAGCCGCCCACACAAGGCATAATTCACAGAATATAACATTCTTGATATATAAAACGGTGCATTGAGTGAAGTTAAAAACACAGACAATATTTCAAAGGGGAACATGAGCATACCAGTTTTATCATCTGGCTTGTGTAGCCTGGAGGGAGCGTTTTGCGTGGTGTGGGAAGATAGCTCAGCCTCCACGTGGAAAACCAGGGGGGAGCAAGTGGCATGCAGGGCCACACCCACAGAGAGGTTTTCCCTTGCAGAGTCAGGCCTGCATTGTACCTAGACTGCTATGAGACTTTCTTTTCTAAAACTCCCTCATCCTGAATTGAGGCACAAGGGCTTACTGTGACTTCCTAAAATCTGAGCTAAACCTCCCCAGTATGGAATGTGATGAGTTCAACCACTTTTCCCCTGGGTCTGCAACATCCTTCTCTTTGAAGTAATTAGCAGCATTCTTCCCTTTGTTATCTGTAAAAGGGAGTCCCCTGCAGTGAACCTGTGCATAGTAAATGAGGA